AATTCTTGAGGGAAACCTGTTTCTGTCTTCCAGAGATTTGAGACTGGGATGGAGGTTCACCTTCCAGCAGGACCCTTAGCATACTGCTAAAGCAACACTTTAGTGTTTTAAGGGGAAACATTTAAATGTCTTGGAATGGCCTAGTCAAAGCCCAGACCTCAATCCAATTGAGAATCTGTGGTATAACTTAAAGATTGCTGTACACCAGCGGAACCCATCCAACTTGAAGGAGCTGGAGCAGTTTTGCCTTGAAGAATGGGCAAAAATCCCAGTGGCTAGATGTGCCAAGCTTATAGAGACATACCCCAAGAGACTTGCAGCTGTAATTGCTGCAAAAGGTGGCTCTATAAAGTATTGACTTGGGGGGGAGGGGGGTGAATAGTTATGCACGCTCAAGTTCTGTTTTTTTGTCTTATTTCTTGTTCGTTTCACAAGAAAAAATATTTAGCATCTTCAAAGTGGTAGGCATGTTGTGTAGATCAAATGATACAAACCCCCCAAAAATCAATTTTAATTCCAGGTTGTAAGGCGCCAAAATAGGAAAAATGCCAAGGGGGGTGAATACTTTCACAAGCCACTGTAATTGGGACATAATCTACAGTGGGGAAAAAAAGGATTTAGTCAGCCACCGATTGTGCAAGTTCTCCCACTTAAAAAGATGAGAGGCCTGTAATTTTCATCATAGGTACACGTCAACTATGACAGACAAATTGAGAAAAAAAAATCCTGAAAATCACATTGTAGGATTTTTTATGAATTTATTTGCAAATTATGGTGGAAAATAAGTATTTGGTCACCTACAAACAAGCAAGATTTCTGGCTCTCACAGACCTGTAACTTCTTCTTTAAGAGGCTCCTCTGTCCTCCACTCGTTACCTGTATTAATGGCACTTGTTTGAACTTGTTATCAGTATAAAAGACACCTGTCCACAATCTCAAACAGTCACACTCCAAACTCCACTATGGCCAAGACCAAAGAGCTGTCAAAGGACACCAGATACAAAATTGTAGACCTGCACCAGGCTGGGAAGACTGAATCTGCAATAGGTAAGCAGCTTGGTTTGAAGAAATCAACTGTGGGAGCAATTATTAGGAAATGGAAGACATACAAGACCACTGATAATCTTCCTCGATCTGCGGCTCCACGCAAGATCTCACCCCGTGGGGTCAAAATGATCACAAGAACGGTGAGCAAAAATCCCAGAACCACACGGGGGGACCTAGTGAATGACCTGCAGAGAGCTGGGACCAAAGTAACAAAGCCTACCATCAGTAACACACTACGCCGCCAGGTACTCAAATCCTGCAGTGCCAGACGTGTCCCCCTGCTTAAGCCAGTACATGTCCAGGCCCGTCTGAAGTTTGCTAGAGTGCATTTGGATGATCCAGAAGAGGATTGGGAGAATGTCATATGGTCAGATGAAACCAAAATATAACTTTTTGGTAAAAACTCAACTCGTCGTGTTTGGAGGACAAAGAATGCTGAGTTGCATCCAAAGAACACCATACCTACTGTGAAGCATGGGGGTGGAAACATCATGCTTTGGGGCTGTTTTTCTGCAAAGGGACCAGGACGACTGATCCGTGTAAAGGAAAGAATGAATGGGGCCATGTATCGTGAGATTGAGTGAAAACCTCCTTCCATCACCAAGGGCATTGAAGATGAAACGTGGCTGGGTCTTTCAGCATGACAATGATCCCAAACACACCGCCCGGGCAACGAAGGAGTGGCTTCGTAAGAAGCATTTCAAGGTCTTGGAGTGGCCTAGCCAGTCTCCAGATCTCAACCCCATAGAAAATCTTTGGAGGGAGTTGAAAGTCTGTGTTGCCCAGCGACAGCCCCAAAACATCACTGCTCTAGAGGAGATCTGCATGGAGGAATGGGCCAAAATACCAGCAACAGCAACAGAAAACGTTTGACCTGTGTCATTGCCAACAAAGGGTATATAAAAGTATTGAGAAACTTTTGTTATTGACCAAATACTTATTTTCCACCATAATTTGCAAATAAATTCATTAAAAATCCTACAATGTGATTTTCTGGATATTTTTTTCACATTATGTCGGTCATAGTTGACGTGTACCTATGATGAAAATTACAGGCCTCTCTCATCTTTTTAAGTGGGAGAACTTGCACAATTGGTGGCTGACTAAATCCTTTTTTCCCCACTGTATGTCTTCCATTTCCTAATAATTGCTCCCACAGTTGATTTCTTCAAACCAAGCTGCTTACCTATTGCAGATTCAGTCTTCCCAGCCTGGGGAAGGTCTACAATTTTGTTTCTGGTGTCCTTTGACAGCTCTTTGGTCTTGGCCATAGTGGAGTTTGGAGTGTGACTGTTTGAGATTGTGGACAGGTGTCTTTTATACTGATAACAAGTTCAAACAGGTGCCATTAATACAGGTAATGAGTGGAGGACAGAGGAGCCTCTTAAAGAAGAAGTTACAGGTCTGTGAGAGCCAGAAATCTTGCTTGTTTGTAGGTGACCAAATACTTATTTTCCACCATAATTTGCAAATAAATTCATTAAAAATCCTACAATGTGATTTTCTGGATATTTTTTTCACATTATGTCGGTCATAGTTGACGTGTACCTATGATGAAAATTACAGGCCTCTCTCATCTTTTTAAGTGGGAGAACTTGCACAATTGGTGGCTGACTAAATACTTTTTTTCCCCACTGTATGTTCTAGTCTTTGATAAATGTGTTCCACCCTCTACATGTCAGTGTGGATAAGACCCAATCATTGGACGACAAACATTCTTTAAATTATTTTTATTTACAAAAATATAGAAACAGGGACCGCTTATAGAAATGTACAGTGTCACTAAATATTGTGGCCATTTACACGTCAATGCAACCCTTTTCATGTCATTCAGCTTTGAAAAGCAAAACATTACAGCAGCAATCTCCCATCAATGATTTTTTAATGTAAAGACCCGAGCACTATCAAACATCATATCATACAATTCTATGAACCTGGCTTAACACCAATCATCTCCTTTAGAATAATTGAATCAATGAATAAACACAACAAAAGCCAACATTTTCTCAACAGCTTTCCTCACACAAAATAGAACAAAGTGGTTTTAAATGAATGTAAAAGTCCCATCATGAACAAGATCTAGATCATGTAGAGGAACTAAACAAGATGTCTACGTTTGTATCCAGACAAACACACTGAGTTATAATAGTGACAATGCATTCTACTGTGAACAGAAAATAACAGTTCAAATAATTATTCTGTCATAGAGGACTTCTGCATTTTAAATACTAGAGCCTGTGTTATATGATCAAAAGTATACTTCATTCTCACTCCATGACTAACATTGTAACTTCATTAAACAAAAAATGATAATATTTGTAATGCGATCACTCAGGGAGATTTGAAGCATCAATAGAAAACTCTAATGACGAGCCACACAGGGTTCATTAGTTGCATGTTATTAATGGTATTGATAAACGGTAGAAATGTCCCTTGTCTAGTGGTCGGGTTGTTAATCAGATAGCTGATTAAATGGCTTGAGGGTCAGACCGAGTGCAGCCGCACACATCCACCATAGTCCTGAGCTAGGTGTAGGGTTAAGTTGCCCCTAGAGGCTGATCCTGGGTCAGTTTAGCATTTTCCCCACTAATGGTTAAGGTTAGGATTGGGGGAGAGGAAGCTGATCCTAGATCTGTACCTAGGCGGAACTTCACCCCGGAGCACTGAACTACAGAGGACATAGAAGGAAAGTGCATGCTGTGACTATAGACCCAAACAAAGGGAGGGAAAATGTAGTGACATATTGTAAACCACACCCTTACGACCTGTGTACATTTCTCCATTGTGGTAGGCAGCAGGCAGGCACAACCGATACTAAAAGGGTCTAAACTTCTTACAATCCCCACTCTGAAGGAATCCAAATGACCTATGGAACAAGAACTGGGTATAGGCTACTCAAGAATAATAAAAGCGTAAAAACTACTAAGTGGTGGTGATGATGCATTAAGTCCATCCATTCAGTGCACACAGTGGTACTGTATGACTCATAGAGCAGCTCCATTCAAACCCACATAACTTCTAAATACCAGGGCACAGAGTAGCAAAACGTTTTGGAACGGAAAACTGAAATGAGTCCAGGAGAGTTAGTTCCTCCCCATTAGGGATGTGCACGGTTATTAGAATATTCGAATGGACGTTAGTATTCGAATACTTGTATGCATATACATTTTTGTGAGAAGAAAATAAATATTGGCCAATTTTACACAGAAACTGCTTTTTCTAAATTAAAATATCCATGTGACATTGTTACATACACGGATATACCATGCATGACATGTCAAATTATTAATTTAATAAAACAACTAACTTTTCAATGTAGTTTTTATGACGTGCACGGTGCACCCCATAAAAACACCGGCAGCCAACCAGGAACCTTCACATGTGTAGCTTGTTGTTTATGTTGGCCAATCAAAGCGGCAAACAGGCTCAATGTGTAGCAAGTGGAATGAAAGTTCACTAATGCAATGCAAGATGGAATAAAATTACAGAATTAAAAGTTAGCGAAATGAGAAGTAGGCTACAACATGCAACCAACAGATAGGCTGTTTTATCTGAATGGGTTTGGGGAAAAGGCGCAGCATGTGGCCTCAATTAGCCTAGCTAGCTATAGCTGGCTAGCTTAACTAGCTAGCTTCTCTAGGCTACTCCAGTCAAGACAAGCACTGTTATATAGGATGATAAATAACATTGAATTGCCTTGGCGTCTGTCTCTCACCCTCCATCTGCTTGCCCCTCTGCAGCTGCAGCAATAGAGCGCCAGCCTCTCTCCATCGCGCAGCAGTGCTCAGGTAAAAAACTAAATTTCAAATATCTGACAAAAATGTATTATACTATTCAAATTGTGACATTATTTCAAACCCCCATCCCTATGTCCCCGTTTTACTCAATTTTGGGGCCTACTGAACACGACCCTGGAAAGGCCCCCGGAGGATCCTCTATGCCTCATGGCTGTGCTACGACGGCCCGTCCCCCTGCTGCTCTGGCTGGAAGGGGTAGCTGATAGCGGGAGGGAAGCCCGGGTTCCTGGGCTGATCATCCAGCAGCACCAGATCCTCTACGTCCCTCCCATTGAACCGCCGCCGGCAGATCTTCACCATCACCTTGCGCCCCTGGAAGGCCTTGAGGGCCTCCTTGGATGCCATGGACCTGGCGGCCGCCTCGTCACGCCCGTAGCCCGTGCCCAGGTAGACTGTCTGGCAGCGCAGCTCGCACACCTGACCCTCCTTCTGGGTGCGCGCCGCCGGCAGGTCGGGGATGTCCTTCAGGGGCACGAAGACGCAGCTCAGGCTCTCTTTGGATGACTCGGTGCAGGCACGCAGGATCTCAAAGTGGTCCAGGTTGGGGCCGAAGCCCCCTGCCGACACCAGCTTCCACGCCACAGCCTTGTAAAGGCGGTTGAAGAAGGGCTGGTGCTCGGCAGGCGCCTGCGGGGGCGGGCCCTGCTTGAAGGGGTTCCCAGGCTTGGTCCGCTTTACGCAGCTGTCGTCGTCGCCGCCCCCTGAGAATCAGCAAGATAAAAGACAACTGAGATGGGATTCTTCCCGGGCAACACTGGCAAAAGCAGCAGAAAAAAATACTGCAGGGATGACTCATCGACTCATCTAACCTTAACAATGTACAGTATGTTTGATGGAGAAGTACAGAACTTTTCCCACTTTAATTGTCTTACAAATATACAGAAACGGGTATAAAGCATCTGTTATCACAGTAATTGCCATTCAGTGTATTGCCATGAGTTAACCATACTGTACAACCCTGAAGCAAAGACAGACCATTGGTCAAACTCAACTTTTCTTTAGTAGGGCTATAATATTAGCGTCAATTAAAACGTTTAAAGTTGGACTCTACAAACTATACAAGAAATCCAAACTTTCAAATAGTTTCAAATTCAATCCAAATCAAATCAAAGTTCATTGGTCAAGTGCACAGGATATAGGTGTAAACGGTACAGTGAAATGCTTACTTGCTAACTCTCCTTAACAATGCAGTGCAATATCAATCAAGAATCAAATGCCAAATACAAAGTCCTAGATAACAAGTAGTAATAAAAAGTAGAAGGGGGAAAAAAGTAATACAAACAAGTTATGACAAGTATGTACACAGCTGAATCATACCTGCAGTCCTCTTTCCTTTCCCCATGATTTCATCTCTCGTCTTTCGAACTGGAGCATCATTGACAACCACTCCCTCTGCCATTTCCTCGATCTTGTCCATGACAGGTTGAGGGTATCTGCAAAACAACAGAAGAAGATGAATGTCCCCTTAGGACAGTTGACCCTAGTCTCCTGTTGTTTTACCTTGGTTTACTTTATTGGAATACTGTAGTAGTTTTTCATTCTGGTTGGTCCAAACTGGAGAATATATGTTAAACCAGAACCTATGGAAGAGCACCAGCAGCACCCCCCATTGTAAATAACTAATACTATTTTCACACTATCAACAGTGCTGACCCCAACCATACTGTGCTGGCTCGGATATTTCCTTCTCACACTGTCCTTTCCAGCAGGGTTTCAACTACTATGGTGGATGCATAGCCAGGCCAGTGCAGCTCAGCTCAGCTCTGTAGTATATGCCAGTTAACAGATGCTTTTATCCAAAGAGACTTACAGTAGTGTGTGCATACATTTTGTGTGAAGTGTGAAAATTATATTACAGTAAAACTCAACATTGAAATCCATTAAAACAAAGTTCCTCTATCCATTCCTCAAACATAGCCTGTTCGAGATCTAGTTGACAAGACCACACAAACAGATATGGGACCAGGCTACGATACACATACCTGCAGCCCAAGAAGACGTGGTTGGCCCAACATATGGACAGTGAGAGCAGCCTGTCCAGACTGGGGCTGGGGAAGCCCGGCTGGACTGTGGGGAACGTCTCCATGTTCCTCAGGAAAAACTCTCGTCTGGCGTGCCACTGCTTGTTGGTCTCATGCACTCCTCGGAGCGACTCCACCCACTCGACCAGGTGAGGGTTCTGGTCCAGGTACTCTGAAACAATGTCCTCTCCAGTCCTCCCCTCAGCCATCACTGTAACTCAGAGTATAGACACAGGACACAATGTGTTAGACTATATCAGTGTTAAGGTGACTAGAGGCAAATACAGGCTTCTCAAGACGCAAATCAAATCAGATGATCTGATGGTAAATTATATACCACACTAAGTCCAGTGTATTTTATGTGTTCTGTCTCTCATGTTTTTCTAGCAGCACGGCATCAACATATTCATCAGGAACTGGAAGCTGTTGCTCTTCTATGACAGTTAGCATGATAGAAATATGGTTATAGCCAGACACCTCACCTGCAATTTGTCAGCAGCACCTGTGTGATTGTAGCTCCTTGTTAAGAGGGAATATTATAACGTTACGGAAGCTGAAGTAGTCGTCTTCTGACATCTTTTCAAGTCACTGCTGGCATCTATTCTTTGTGATTATAGCGTAACAATTATCACGTAGTAGGGCCTAATTAGAAAACCGCTCTATTACGGAAGTCAATGTTGGTTTGTTGCAATGCCAGTTGTCTAACGTTACCGTCTCTGTTGTTACTAGCTAGCTAACTTCTAATCAGAAGTTCATTCAAACAGATCATTCAGTGATTAACATCAACCGGCTTCATACATTTTACATAGCTAGCCATCCTCCAACGTGGATAGCTAGTTACCTAGCATTAAATTAGCATATGACTCTAAAACAAACGCCGGGTATTAGCCTAGCTAGCAAACACAACAAATGTATGTTGGTGGCTGCACTACGCTAACGTTAGCTTTATTTTAGCAACATATAGCTTACTGGATAACTATATCATACAAAGTTGCAGAATATGTTTTATTGATATCAAACATACAGTTCAGAACTAACCTCTGAAGCTGTCCAGGCAGCGCCGTTGCTACATGAGTCATGACCAGTGATGCAAACAAGTTGGCTGTCGAACTACAACTTCCACACGATTGTGCAACAACAGAAACCACCGTTTTTTTTATCAAAGATATAGCTACTTAGAGATAATTGATACATGTAGGGTTTTTTTAGATCGCAAATAGTGATCACTACAGTAGCTTAATCAATCGTACAAGTGAAGAAAACGTTTCATTAACTTATGCGGAATCCGAAGGAAAGACTACAATTTCCATAACTCTTCACTCTCATCATTGAAACGTCATCGAGTTGCGGCGGCGGAAGAATCGGCGGTGTTGTGATTGAATGACAGGTTCAACACTGCAATTTATGTCAACTTTGATCTGATTGCCGATATTAAGTGAATTAAAATGATTCATGAGCTCTTGTTGGCTTTAAGTGGATACCCTGGGACTATATTCACATGGAACAAACGGACAGGTTTACAGGTATATCGGGGTACCTAACTACAGAGCTAGCTCTACAAAGTAAAAACACTGCTGCAAGAAGCTGGCTAGCTGTGTTAAAAAAAAATTTCTCAAGTAACGTTAGATAGCTAGTGCAACTAGCTACTAACCTTATGAATTGCTTTGTTTTCTGCTTTTATTGGCACCCATCACTAGTTTCTTTCTGTTGTTGCATGTACACTTCACTATAGATTTGTTTAGTGGCTGGTGATAAGTGTGACATACAAAAGCATCCTACTGAACCTTTTAGCCGAGTTTATCTCAACTCCACGATGTACATATAGCTAACTAAACCATAGCTCATGAATGTAATGTTAAGGAGTTATGAATAAGGGTTCATTGAACCTCTGCTTCTCCTGTAGGTCTCCCAGGACCTGCCCTTTCTCCATCCCAGTGAAACCAGTGTCCTAAACCGCCTCTGCAAACTGGGATCCGATTACATTCGCTTCACAGAGTTCATAGAGCAACACACAGGCCATGTCCACCAGCAGGTGAGATAAATACCCAGATGATGGAGTGTCAAAAGCATGGGCGAATCTGCGAAGTATTTTCCTCTTCTCACATCCTTCTCAAAACATCAGGGGGAAGCGAGGAGAGCATTGAAAGATATCTGGGGTTCCTTCTCCTCTAATGCTCTCCCTGCTTATCTCTGACATTTTGAGGACTTGAGGAAAGACTTTTGAAATTCACCCTATGGCTCTAGGGGGCGGTTTCCCGGACACAGATTAGGAGCCCAGTCCTGAGGGGTAGACTACGAATGAAGCTAGATCTGCTCAAGCTTTTATAAAGCTAGCCAGCTTCAGTTCGCTTCACATTCCAGCTCAGGCTTCATCCGTACTACGACGGTGGATGTTGCTTGTTCGTCTACCGCTAACTATAGCAGGCTTGCACTGTAACTACGCGTGTATGTCACATGTTGCTGGTCGAACGCCAAACTCTTCATTGAGACAATGCTGAAACCATCAATCCATGGGAGAGTCAGTGCCACATTTTAATTTTTGCCTAAATTAACATGAAAGATAAGTTATCTTGCAAATTCAGCAGGCTATGATGTGAAATAGGCTAAAAGTGACATCTTTATTTTATTACGTATTGTTAATGCCTTCTTTGAAGCACCTTTTTTCCCCACTCCTATCAATAATATAATTGTATAGTCATACAAAGGTTTTACTGTACATTAACTTTCAAATGCATCTTGTCATTGATAAATGTGTAATGTGATGGGTATTTTAATATTATTTTTTATTTTTTTACACATGAAACGTTTGATTAATTAAATATTTAATAGCTCGTTTTCTTCAAATGAAGGGGATGGTGATGCAATCTTTGCGAGAGTGAGGGACTCTGAGTCTGATTACGTTGGTCCTCAACTCATGGGTCATGCTGCGTTCAAAACAACTGGGAACTGGGAAATCTCCGACTTCCGACTTCAGTGCGTTCAAAACAACTGGGAACTTGGAAAAAAATTAGCTCAGACTGGGGAAAATCTATTTGAATGGTCACCCAATTCGGAATTCCAACTCGGGCCTCTTTCTAAAACTCGGACATTCCGACCTGAAGATCACTAATGTCATGATTTGACAGTTGTTTTGAATGCGTCATCAGACACTTAATTCGGGATAACTAGAGTTAGCCCTGAGTTAGCCTACCCCGGAGCAGGTTAGTTCTGAACGATTTGTTGCCATAGAAATGTACCTGGCTAAAAGGTGAGGCACTTTCATATGACCGGTTATCCCGAGTTACTTTGGTAACAAACCTGTTTCGTAGTATACCTCTCTGGACTAAAAAGCCAACTCAATTAAGAATCTCCATTGAAAATGCTTTTTAGTCCAGGATTACACTTCATCTGGATCCGGGAAACCTCCCCCTAGATGGGTTTATATTTTTGAATTTTTTTAGATTGAGATGTACTAGTATTACCTCAAATACTTATCAGATATAGCTAAATACTATAGTCTTAACAAGCCCTTATTGTACTTTGCAGGAGCACCACTCCATTCAGCCAAACCAGGCTGGACTTAATGGGGTTTACCTGCGGGCTTTCTGCACAGGACTGGACTCAATGCTACAGCCTTATAGACAGGCTCTCCTGGACCTCGAACAAGAGGTAGCGAAGATAATTTACAAAATGCATTGTAGCACTAATTAATACAATGCAAAGTGATAATCAATCCCACCACTTTCCTCTTCATTGCAGTTTCTTGGCGACCCGCATCTCTCCATATCTCATGTGAATTATATGCTGGATCAGGTAATGGCGGTTACTGTTTTTTATAGTTTTTCTGATTTAGATTTCCTTGTTATACATTTGAAGTAGAATTCCCTCGGACAACATTGCACGCGAGATACAACAACAGAATATGTAATGCACTTTTCTTTTTACCACACTGCTCGACGCACCTCACCTCCATTTCGTCCACAAAACAAAAACAATAAAAAGGTGCTGGGGGGCTGTCACCCCTCCACCCCTCCCCTGATTGGAGTAAACTAACGGATCAAAAGACTTCTACTTTCGCTCCCATGTTCTGTACATGTAGTTAACTAATTATACATATATTCCTAATTTCCTCTTTCTTCAAGTGCTGGATTTTCATCCACATCGGCCAATCCAGACAGTGGCGCTGTTTCCCATAATGCGGATTCCATCATTAAATGTGAACTTTCACACCTACAGTCAGAAGAACCACTGTATCTTTCAATATGTCATGAATATTAATGTAACAATATATCCTAGTAATTTAATGTAATCATGTTGTTCTTCTCCAGTTTCAGTTGCTGTTTCCCTCTGTTATGGTGGTGGTGGAGACAATAAAGTCCCAGAAGGTAAGGGCATTACAATGGAGACAATACAGTCCCAGAAGGTAAGGGCATTACAATGGCGACAATACAGTCCCAGAAGGAAGGGAATTACAATGGAGACAATACAGTCCCAGAAGGTAAGGGCTTTACAATGGAGACAATACAGTCCCAGAAGGTAAGGGCATTACAATGGAGACAATACAGTCCCAGAAGGAAGGGCATTACAATGGAGACAATACAGTCCCAGAAGGTAAGGGCATTACAATGGAGACAATACAGTCCCAGAAGGTAAGGGCATTACAATGGAGACAATACAGTCCCAGAAGGTAAGGGCATTACAATGGAGACAAAAGTATTCACTCGCCTTCTGATATGACTGAGAAATCACACAATTACCTTGGAGGAAATTATTTAAGACACTCATAAAGCACTTTTCATACACCCATAGCACCCTCCAAAAACTATTTATGTTCTCAAACTCGAGGGTCAACGCATTTCTGAAGTGCCTTGGTATTGTCACAGAAAAATGTAAATCTATCTTTCTCCCACGTATTTAAAGTTCACCATGGTGGCTGCTGTAGCACAGGGGCATAAAGGTGTCACAGCGCTCAGAGCAGAGTGCATGATGGGTAGATACGGTTCAATCAATTAGTGTGGAATATGGAAATGAGGTCATATCCTGTCTGTCCTAATTAGATCCACGGTTGTCAGATCCTGGAGACGGTGTACAAGCACAGCTGTGGAGGCCTGCCCCCTGTACGCATGGCCCTGGAGAAGTAAGTTACGGCCACCACATTTGATTGAAAAAGTTAAGTTAGCCTCTTATAGAAGCTTTATGCATGTTTATGCTCTTACTTGGATATATGCTGCATGTGTGGTGTCATCCTGAAACTGATGCTGCAAAGTGAAATATGCATACCATATTTCCAGGAAAAACCTGAAGGGGGTTTTGAATTCTCTGTGATTTTACAATGGTAAGATCCCGGGGTGCTTTTTTTTCTAAATCGTTATTTCACCCCTGGATAAATTATTCCCATGACATATGTCATATCCTGCTACACATAAACACTTGAATCTTGAATGATACCTGGATGGTGTTTCTTAGAGCAACACAACATAAAGGATCTCTCTGCTGTCTGTCTGTCTACCCAGGATCCTGGCGGTGTGCCACGGGGTGATGTACAAGCAGCTGGCTGCGTGGATGCTGCACGGTCTGCTGCTGGACCAGAGTGAGGAGTTCTATGTGAAGCAGGGGCCCAGCGCTGGAGGGGCCGCCGCCAACCAGGAGGATGACGAGGAGGACCTGGGGATCGGAGGCCTCAGCGGTAAACAGCTGAAAGAACTACAGGACCTGGTGAGAGCCCTTATGCAAAGATTCAGTATCAGCTTTTATCTTCCCCTAACTGGCTGAGCTAAGATAAGAGACAAAACTGATCCTAGATCAGCGTCTATGGGCAGTTGCATCCATGTTTCCAGCTGAGAGAACTACAGGATCTGGTGAGATGGCGGGTAGAAGTTGCCCTTGGGCACAGCTTCAGGATCAGTTTATATCTCCCACCAAATCCTAATCTTAAACATCAGGGGTGGGGAGGCAAAGCTGACCTAAGATCAGTGTCAATGAGTAATTTCATCCTACTCCATACCTTGTCACTTTATCTGTCCACTTGGATTTGAAGTGCTTGCATTAGTGTAAAGCTTGCACCACTGCTGTTGGAGTAAAGATTGTAGGATGGATAAGATCTAAAAGTCATGTGTATGTACTTATAAGTCAGCTTCAGGAGGCTGATTTGGTCATGTTCACAAGGCAGGGAAAAACTAACTGAAACAGGGTGTGAGTACCCAGACTGGTCCAATAAGACATGCTCAATTTAGTTTTTTCTGTTTGAAAGTGTTTTCCGTTGCGTGCCCTAATGAACGATGCTGTTGTCTGTGTTCCGCTGTAGAGGCTGATAGAAGAAGAGAACATGCTGGCTCCGTCCCTGCAGCAGTTCTCTCTGCGGGCTGAGATGCTGCCCTCCTACATCCCCATCCGCGTGGCTGAGAAGATCCTCTTCGTGGGGGAGTCCGTCCAGATGTTTGAGAACCACAACCACAGCCCGTCCAGAGCTGGTGAGAACCTGGTCCACACATTTACCTTTTCTTATGTGCTTTTTCCTTTCACATTTACTGTAGCTGCGTTTTACATTGACTTGTTAGTCATCTAGCTTTAGCAAGCTGATGTTTTTACCTATTGTGATTTAGCTGCAGTAGGGAAACAGTAGAGTGAGGAAGAAGTGATTGTTTTCTGGGTTTTCACCCTCAATCATTTGCTTACCTTACTAGAAGTTCTTTGACAACTTGTTAGCATTATTTCTGATTTTGGCATCTAATTGGTTTGCTTTGGTTGCTACGCTTCTCTAAAAACATCAACAACAAATAAACACCAAAACAGCTCGCCAAACACTACTTCAATCTAACATATTGCGACAATATCACTTCAGGAGATCCACATTGGACTTGTAATGAAAGAATTTGGAAGATCTTTGATGGATAATGTTTTCCTCCCTTTCCCTTTCCCTCTGTCTGTGTTTGTGTCCAGGCTCTATACTGAAGCACCAGGAGGACATGTTTGCTACAGAGCTGCACCGTCTCAAACAGCAGCCCCTCTTCAGCCTAGTGGACTTTGAGAACCTCATAGACGGCATCCGCAGCACCGTGGCAGAGGTGGGCTTGGCACTTCAACATATCTAGGAAATGTCAGATATGTGTTTGTAATGACTGCTGCAACTTCCCACTATGAGCTGGACAACAAGGTCCTGTTCTATTCAGGTGATGTTAGGGCTACATTCATCTCAATAACATCGGTATGGGATTCCAATAAACAATTGATTAACCAATGTATCCTTCTATTTGCAGCACCTGTGGACATTGATGGTGGAGGAATCCGATCTCCTGGGGCAACTTAAGGTTTGTATTTGGACTATCTAGCTGTGACAGTTTAGAGTTGATTTGAGATTGTTAGTGTGCATGTTTGAGCTCGACTACATTGCTGTCGGACTGAGCAGAATCACTGATCTATAAATCCCCTTGGATCTCAAATAACTTCTCATCATGTGATCAAGATGAGTGATTCTGTGCCTCGCCTTGTTCAAACTGACCCCGTCAAACACGCCGTTTCTCTTTACCTGTAGATCATAAAGGACTTTTACCTGTTGGGCCGTGGCGAGCTGTACCAGGTGTTCATTGACCACGCTCAGCACATGCTCAAGACCCCGCCCACAGCTGTCACTGAACACGGTACGTTCACAGATCCAGGATCAGTTTACTCGAACAGATATCTAAACTTGATTTATAGGAGGTAGAATGCACTAAGCGCTAAGGGCCAACTTCATTTTATGGAAAATTCACCCTTTATTCAATCACAAACCATGGTCCTGTTGGAATATGTCAAACTGCAGTTTAAACTGCATCCTAACTTCCTCCCTTCCTTGAAGTGATCACTGATCTAACACTGTGGCTAGATCAAAGTAGGGGTTCCAGTAAATATCTTTCACCAACCCGATCATTTCTGATTGTTGTTATTCCAAGGAAGGAAGGAAGCAGTGTAGAAGAGTATGAACAGGCCTCATGTCTATTGCAGTTATTCTTTGTATCTAACTATGGCTGTTTTCTCCACCCCTTCCACAGACGTAAATGTGGCCTTTCAGCAGGCTGCTCACAAGGTGTTGTTGGACGACGACAACCTCCTGCCTCTCCTGCACCTCACCATCGACTACCAGGGGAAGGAGAGCAAAGGTTTGTTCCTCAGAGGCTTTTCAATGGAGCCGAAACCCTCCACTAGGAGTGGTAGGAGGTCTAACTGTATGTTTAACCAGCGCTGCTTGGAGTTCTCTCTTCACTCCCTACCAGACTTGGGTTCAAATACTTTTATTTGAGTATTTGTTTTTGAAATACTTATTTTCTGTGTATTTTCTAATACATGCCAATACTTTCCAAGTGTATTTCCAAATACATTCCAATATTCAGCTAGTTGTATTTTAAAAGAAAATATTTACTTTGAAATGTAATTGAAATACCCTAAATAGTATTTGAACACAGGTCTGCTCCCTACTACCTCTTCCCCCATGGCCCTAACTTACCCTTCCAATATGGCAGAAAGTCCACCATGACACTGCTTATACCTTTTTATACCATTCAGATCTGTAAATATGGAAAGGTCAGGGCCAAGGGGAAGGGGTAAGGAACATATTGGGACTGGCAGCTGTGTTCTCCAGTATATTGTTTTGTAACCAGTTGCTGCCATCTTGTGGCTAACTGTAAGACAGTCTAAAATGGACGCCCGTCTTCATCTTCTCTCTGTCATCTGCTTCTGCTATAACCTGGGAACACGAGATAGAAGGCAATCTGGTGGATCTGTACTGGGAAGTCACCTGTTTCACCTGTTATCTTTTTTAAAAAGCAGATGAAGGAAAGCAGATGAGAAAAGAAGGCTACTGAACTTCGCACCCTAATCCACATAAGTGCACTACTTTTCACAAAGTTCTGGTCAAAAGTATTGCACTTCATAGGGAATAGGGTGCTATTTGGGATGATCCATTCGTCTATGTCTTCTACCCAGTTTGTGCCATCTTGTGAACAATGCTATGGAGTGGATCAGAGGATGTGAGCAGAGTGGAGAGAGGAGTGGAGCGTGTGTAATGATTTTAAAAATGTAGGAGCGTCGGCCTTCTCTCCTGTAATGCTCAGCCACAACCTCTGGCCATGCTCTGCCCACCATTTTTCATTTCCTTCATCACTGTTCTTTTAATTAGGCCTATTATGTTGTATTTATTTAGCCTAACCCCACCACTAATGCCCAGAGCTGTTGATATGAGTCCACCAAGAAATATGTCACAACTTGTGTAATTGATGACAAGACAACCAATGAGCACATGCAGCAGCACCAGAGAAGTTTTGGTTTCTATACAAGCTATTGTTAAAAAAAAGAGGAGTTTAAGTTTGTAACAGTGCTAAAGTTGTCTGTCAACTGTCAAATGTGAGAGCAACAGAACCAGTTACAACTGAAGTATCTGATCATCAATAGATTAGCGAAAAAGCTATTAGTTTTTTAACACAGTGGCCACATAGCCTATCACCTAGACAGGTCCTTGTTTAGTAGCCTATGTTGAAACTTCTTACGATGGTCTACTTCAAAAACAAAGGGTACACAGTCACAAAAGTAGATGGGGTGTTTGTTAAATTATCTTTTTAAACAAAAAATGAATGGATCGAATTTGGAGAGGCAGTTTTTTTTCTGTGAGCCCTGAGCTATTTTTTTTTTTAGCAGACAGGAAAGGATGTTGAGCGCCAGGGTGGTGCACAAAGACTGTTCCATGACTGGGATTTCAAACCGCTCAAATACTCTGGTATGGAGCCATCCTGTGGCTAACAGTATGATTGTGTTCTCAGATGCCACAGGGACCAGGGAAGGGGCCACTCCCCCACAGGAGTCCTCCCCCAGGGAGGTGCCCCCTACGGGCTGGGCTGCTCTGGGCTTGGCCTACAAGGTCCAGTGGCCCCTGCACATCCTCTTCACCCCTGCCGTTCTGGAGAAGTGAGTATTCTACAGCAGGCAACGGCTGCCTCCCAAATGGCACCTTATTCCCTATATAGTGCACTACTTTTGACCAGGTAACAGCTGCAGGACCGGTAACAGTGGAGAAGTTTAGCCTCGCGCTTCAATGCTCTTAGTAGTTGTGGAAATCGACACGATATTGCTTTTTACTTTGTGCATCGCTGACTCAACCTTTAACATAAAGTGATATCCATTAGCAAATGTTTGTGCAAACAGACATAGGAATATTAGGTACACCACCCCGTTCACGAAAATGGATCGCTCCTACAGACTGAGTGTGTCACGTGGCCGTGGCTTGCTGTATAAAGCAGGCAGACAGGCATCGAGGCATTCAGTTACTGTTTGATTGAACATTAGAATGGGAAAAGCGAGTGACCTAAGCGACTTTGAGTGTGGTATGATTGTCGGTGCCAGGCGCGCCGGATCCAGTATCTCAGAAACGGCCGGCCTCCTGGGCTTTTCACGCACGACAGTGTCTAGGGTTTACCGAGAATGGTGCGACAAAAAAACATCTTGATGAGAGAGATCGAAGGAGAATGGCAAGAATTGTGCAAGCTAACAGGCGAGCCACAAACAGACAAATAATGGCGCAGTACAACAGTGGTGTGCAGAACGGCATCTCGGAACGCAGAACTCACCAATCTTTGTCACGGATGGGCTATTGCAGCAGACGACCACACCGGGTTCCACTCCTATCAGCTAAAAACAAGAAGTGGCTGCAGTGAGCACGCAATCACCAGCACTGGACAATTGAGTAGTGGAAAAACATTGCCTGGTCCGACGAATCCCAGTTCCTGTTGCGTCTTGCTGATGGCAGATTTAGGATTTGACGTAAGTAGCATGAGTCCATGGACATATCCTGCCTGGTGTCAATGGTACAGGCTGGTGGCAGTGGTGTACCGGCGTCCAATCTGCAGCAACTGGTGATGCCATCGCGTCAGCATGGACCAACATCCCTGTGGAACATTATCGGCTTGTAGAATCCATGCCCCGAAGAATTCAGGCTCATCACTCATCTTGAAAAAAACGTATACTAAAAACGTGGAAATCAATAATTCTGCCATCGTTAACACAATGGAAAAATCTAATGATTTATTATTGAGATATTGAAAGTGCGTGGGCAACGGAGAGAAACAAAATGGTGGCGTTTCAGGCAATGTGGCAAACAATAATGCAGGTACTAGGGATGGAGGTGTGAGCATGCAGGTCTGGACAGAGGAGATGTAGTCGTTGTTTGTGTGCGTCTGTAAGTTGTTGTTCGTAGGTGTAGGTTTGTGTTTGGTTATTAACAAAAACATGAATTCAGGCTGTTCTGGAGACAAAGGTGGGTCTGACCCGGTACTAGATGGGTGTACATAATAAACTGTCCACTGAGTGTATATAACCATTGTTTGTACCTTCATGTTTTTGTATTGCATTCCTCACAAGTTCTCTGTTCATATAACTTATTTTTATTTTCCTTATGATCAGTTTGTGTCCGATTCAGTTTAGACTTAGTGTCAGTTTCAGGAAGACTAGCTATCGTCATGGCATCAGCTAATGGGGGTTCTAATAAAGATTTAAATTGATATGAGTGATTTTTGTTTCAAAAAAATTTTCTACATGTGCCCTAATGAACACGACCGTGTCCTGTCCCCCAGGTATAATGTAATATCCACGACCATATCCTGTCCCCCAGGTATAATGTAATATCCACAACCGTGTCCTGTCTCCCAGGTATAATGTAATATCCACGACCGTGTCCTGTCCCCCAGGTATAATGTAATATCCACGACCGTATCCTGTCCCCCAGGTATAATGTAATATCCACGACCGTGTCCTGTCCCCCAGGTATAATGTAATATCCACGACCGTGTCCTGTCCCCCAGGTATAATGTAATATCCACGACCGTGTCCTGTCCCCCAGGTATAATGTAATATCCACGACCGTGTCCTGTCACCCAGGTATAATGTAATATCTACGACCGTGTCCTGTCTCCCAGGTATAATGTAATATCCACGACCGTGTCCTGTCTCCCAGGTATAATGTAATATCTACGACCGTGTCCTGTTCCCCAGGTATAATGTAATATCTACGACCGTGTCCTGTTCCCCAGGTATAATGTAATATCCACGACCGTGTCCTGTCCCCCAGGTATAATGTAATATCCACGACCGTATCCTGTCCCCCAGGTATAATGTAATATCCACGACCGTGTCCTGTCCCCCAGGTATAATGTAATATCCACGACCGTGTCCTGTCCCCCAGGTATAATGTAATATCCACGACCGTGTCCTGTCCCCCAGGTATAATGTAATATCCACGACCGTGTCCTGTCACCCAGGTATAATGTAATATCTACGACCGTGTCCTGTCTCCCAGGTATAATGTAATATCCACGACCGTGTCCTGTCTCCCAGGTATAATGTAATATCTACGACCGTGTCCTGTTCCCCAGGTATAATGTAATATCTACGACCGTATCCTGTCCTCCAGGTATAATGTAATATCCACGACCGTGTCCTGTCCCCAGGTATAATGTAATATCTACGACCGTGTCCTGTCCCCCAGGTATAATGTAATATTCCGCTACCTGCTGAGTGTGCGGCGGGTGCAGTCTGAGCTGCAGCACTGCTGGGCTCTACAGATGCAGAGGAAACACCTCAAATCCAACCAGACAGACGCTGTCAAGTGGAGGCTACGCAACCACATGGCTTTCCTGGTGGACAACCTGCAGTACTACCTACAGGTGATTCTATGTAGAAATTACATTTTTACATTTTCGTCATTTAGCAGACACTCTAACAGCAGTGAGTGGATACATTTTCATACTTTTTTGTACTGGTCCCCCGTGGGAATCTAACACACAACCATGGCTTTGCAAGTGCCATGCTCTACCAACTGAGCCACACAGAACCACAACCACGTGTGATTTGTGAGTGATCTGTACATCCAAAGACTAAGTACTGTACAGTGCATCTGGTCTGTTTGTAAGAATAGAGAGCAGTAGTAAAGACATGAACAGGTATAAAACTATACAGCCTTATTCAGCTTTGGGAGGGAATTTGAGAGGCTGAATGTACCACACTCAGTTTTACCATGGGCATATTAATGCAAACAAGCATACCTTTCTTTGTTCTAGAACTACCAAGCACATTTTTTTTTGCTGCTCAGTTCCTCTTTTTGTTACTGGTCCCAGATCTGTATAGCCTGCTCTAAGGTGTTGGCAAGACAACACATCTATTTCTAGGACCAGGCTATGAATGATCTTGTTGTTGGTGTAATATATCAAACATGGCTGTGCTCCTCCTCTCCCTCCTCCCTCAGGTGGACGTGCTGGAGTCTCAGTTCTCTCAGCTGCTGCAGCAGATCAACTCCACCAGAGACTTTGAGAGCATCCGGCTGGCCCACGACCACTTCCTTAGCAACCTGCTAGCACAGTCCTTCATCCTGCTCAAGCCGGTTAGCATCTCAATTTATTAGCATTTGACGTGAATACAATGTAGCAGTAACTTTTAAGGCCACTTGCAGGTATTCTTTATTGCAGTCACGTTATGCAGATGATCAGATTGCCGTATCACTTTGATATGGTTCCTGAGAAGGTAAACCCTTCCCTGACCCAATAGCGCAACGCGACTGCAATGAAGACAACCTTGAACATGGTCTTGCGCTTGTGTGCTAATCATGCGTTGATGTCAGTTGGAGATTAACAACAACACTGATATCAAATTAGGATTCAGCCATGAGTGACCACTTAGCCATAGTTGGCCATTCATTTTTGAATTTCGTCCACTGTCTTCTCTCCCACCCCAGGTGTTCCACTGTCTGAATGAGATCCTGGAGCTGTGTCATAACTTCTGCTCATTGGTCAGCCAGAACGTGGCTCCGCTGGATGAGAGAGGAACAGCCCAACTGGACATCTTGGTCAAGGTGAGGCTCTGTCTGCTAACAATAGTATTTCGAAAACCCATTGGCACGCATATACAGTGAGGGAAAAAAGTATTTGATCCCCTGCTGATTTTGTACGTTTGCCCACTGACAAAGAAATGATCAGTCTATAATTTGAATGGTAGGTTTATTTGAACAGTGAGAGACAGAATACAACAACAAAATCCAGAAAAACGCATGTCAAAAATGTTATACCAGTAAATTGATTTGCATTTTAATGAGGGAAATAAGTATTTGACCCCCTCTCAATCAGAAAGATTTCTGGCTCCCAGGTGTCTTTTATACAGGTAACGAGCTGAGATTAGGAGCACACTCTTAAAGGGAGTGCTCCTAATCTCAGTTTGTTACCTGTATAAAAGACACCTGTCCACAGAAGCAATCAATCAATCAGATTCCAAACTCTCCACCATGGCCAAGACCAAAGAGCTCTCCAAGGATATCAGGGACAAGATTGTATACCTACACAAGGCTGGAATGGGCTACAAGACCATCGCCAAGCATCTTGGTGAGAAGGTGACAACAGTTGGTGTGATTATTCGCAAATGGAAGAAACACAAAATAACTGTCAATCTCCCTCGGCCTGGGGCTCTATGCAAGATCTCACCTCGTGGAGTTGCAATGATCATGAGAACGGTGAGGAATCAGCCCAGAACTACACGGGAGGATCTTGTCAATGATCTCAAGGCAGCTGGGACCATAGTCACCAAGAAAACAATTGGTAACACACTACGCCGTGAAGGACTGAAATCCTGCAGCGCCCGCAAGGTCCCCCTGCTCAAGAAAGCACATATACAGGCCCGTCTGAAGTTTGCCAATGAACATCTGAATGATTCAGAGGAGAACTGGGTGAAAGTGTTGTGGTCAGATGAGACCAAAATGGAGCTCTTTGGAATCAACTCAACTCGCTGTGTTTGGAGGAGGAGGAATGCTGCCTATGACCCCAAGAACACCATCCCCACCGTCAAACATGGAGGTGTAAACATTATGCTTTGGTGGTGTTTTTCTGCTAAGGGGACAGGACAACTTCACTGCATCAAAGGGACAATGGACGGGGCCATGTACCGTCAAATCTTGGGTGAGAACCTCCTTCCCTCAGCTAGGGCATTGTAAATGGGTCGTGGATGGGTATTCCAGCATGACAATGACCCAAAACACACGGCCAAGGCAACAAAGGAGTGGCTCAAGAAGAAGCACATTAAGGTCCTGGAGTGGTCTAGCCAGTCTCCAGACCTTAATCCCATAGAAAATCTGTGGAGGGAGCTGAAGGTTCGAGTTGCCAAACGTCAGGCTCGAAACCTTAATGACTTGGAGAAGATCTGCAAAGGGGAGTGGGACAAAATCCCTCCTGAGATGTGTGCAAACCTGGTAGCCAACTACAAGAAACATCTGACCTCTGTGATTGCCAACAAGGGTTTTGCCACCAAGTACTAAGTCATCAGAGGGATCAAATACTTATCTCCCTAATTTAGAACATTTTTGACATGCGTCTTTCTGGATTTTTTTGTTGTTATTCTGTCTCTCACTGTTCAAATAAACCTACCATTAAAATTATAGACTGATCATGTCTTTGTCAGTGGGCAAACGTACAAAATCAGCAGGGGATCAAATACTTTTTTCCCTCACTGTATATATACAGTACCAGTCAAAAGTTTGGACACACCTACTCATTCCAGGGTTTTTCTTTATTTTTACTAATTTCTACATTGTAGAATAATAGTGAATCAAATATAAAATATATTTTGATTTGTTTAACACTTGTTTGGTTACAACATGATTCCATATGTGTTATTTCATAGTTTTGATGTCTTTGATTATTCTACCATGTAGAAAACAGTAAAAATAAAGAAAAACCCTGGAATGAGTAGGTGTGTCCCAACTTTTGACCGGTACTGTGTATATATAATATATAGTAATTGCTTGTTTAGTCTTTGGTGCTAAATGGCCAATGCAAACTGAAGTACATCATCTGTAATTTCAGGGTTTCAGTCGTCAGTCCTTCCTGCTCTTCAAGATCCTGTCCAGTGTCAGAAACCACCAGATCAACTCTGACCTGGCTCAGCTGCTGCTCAGGCTGGACTACAACAAGTACTACACCCAGTCAGGAGGCACCCTGGGGAGGTAGGGACCCATTACACTACACCCTGGGGAGGTAGGGACCCATTACACTACACCCTGGGGAGGTAGGAACCCATTACACTACACCCTGGGCAGGTAGGAACCCATTACACTACACCCAGTCAGGAGGCACCCTGGGGAGGTAGGGACCCATTACACTACACCCTGGGGAGGTAGGGACCCATTACACTACACCCTGGGGAGGTAGGGACCCATTACACTACACCCTGGGGAGGTAGGGACCCATTACACTACACCCTGGGCAGGTAGGGACCCATTACACTACACCCTGGGGAGGTAGGGACCCATTACACTACACCCTGGGGAGGTAGGGACCCATTACACTACACCCTGGGGAGGTAGGGACCCATTACACTACATCCTGGGGAGGTAGGGACCCATTACACTACACCCTGGGGAGGTAGGGACCCATTACACTACACCCTGGGGAGGTAGGAACCCATTACACTACACCCTGGGGAGGTAGGAACCCATTACACTACACCCAGTCAGGAGGCACCCTGGGGAGGTAGGGACCCATTACACTACACCCTGGGGAGGTAGGGACCCATTACACTACACCCTGGGGAGGTAGGGACCCATTACACTACACCCTGGGGAGGTAGGGACCCATTACACTACACCCTGGGGAGGTAGGAACCCATTACACTACACCCTGGGCAGGTAGGAACCCATTACACTACACCCAGTCAGGAGGCACCCTGGGGAGGTAGGGACCCATTACACTACACCCTGGGGAGGTAGGGACCCATTACACTACACCCTGGGGAGGTAGGGACCCATTACACTACACCCTGGGCAGGTAGGAACCCATTACACTACACCCTGGGCAGGTAGGAACCCATTACACTACACCCTGGGCAGGTAGGAACCCATCACACTACATCCTGGGCAGGTAGGAACCCATTACACTACACCCTGGGCAGGTAGGAACCCATCACACTACATCCTGGGCAGGTAGGGACCCATTACACTACACCCTGGGCAGGTAGGGACCCATTACACTACACCCTGGGCAGGTAGGAACCCATCACACTACATCCTGGGCAGGTAGGAACCCATTACACTACACCCTGGGCAGGTAGGAACCCATCACACTACACCCTGGGCAGGTAGGAACCCATTACACTACACCCTGGGCAGGTAGGAACCCATCACACTACACCCTGGGCAGGTAGGAACCCATTACACTACACCCTGGGCAGGTAGGAACCCCTTACACTACACCCTGGGCAGGTAGGAACCCATCACACTACACCCTGGGCAGGTAGGAACCCATTACACTACACCCTGGGCAGGTAGGAACCCATCACACTACACCCTGGGCAGGTAGGAACCCATTACACTACACCCTGGGCAGGTAGGAACCCATTACACTACACCCTGGGCAGGTAGGAACCCATTACACTACACCCTGGGCAGGTAGGAACCCATCACACTACATCCTGGGCAGGTAGGAACCCATTACACTACACCCTGGGCAGGTAGGAACCCATTACACTACACCCTGGGCAGGTAGGAACCCATTACACTACACCCTGGGCAGGTAGGAACCCATTACACTACACCCTGGGCAGGTAGGAACCCATTACACTACACCCTGGGCAGGTAGGAACCCATTACACTACACCCTGGGCAGGTAGGAACCCATCACACTACATCCTGGGCAGGTAGGAACCCATTACACTACACCCTGGGCAGGTAGGAACCCATCACACTACACCTTGGGCAGGTAGGAACCCATCACACTACATCCTGGGCAGGTAGGAACCCATTACACTACACCCTGGGCAGGTAGGAACCCATCACACTACACCCTGGGCAGGTAGGAACCCATTACACTACACCCTGGGCAGGTAGGAACCCATTACACTACACCCTGGGAAGGTAGGAACCGGACACTACATCCTGGGCAGGTAGGAACCCATTACACTACACCCTGGGCAGGTAGGAACCCATTACACTACACCCTGGGCAGGTAGGAACCCATTACACTACACCCTGGACAGGTAGGAACCCATTACACTACACCCTGGGCAGGTAGGAACCCATTACACTACACCCTGGGGAGGTAGGAACCCATTACACTACACCCTGGGCAGGTAGGAACCCATTACACTACACCCTGGGGAGGTAGGAACCCATTACACTACACCCTGGGGAGGTAGGAACCCATTACACTACACCCTGGACAGGTAGGAACCCATTACACTACACCCTGGACAGGTAGGAACCCATTACACTACACCCTGGGCAGGTAGGAACCCATTACACTACATCCTGGACAGGTAGGAACCCATTACACTACACCCTGGGGAGGTAGGGACCCATTACACTACACCCTGGGGAGGTAGGGACCCATTACACTACACCCTGGGGATGGTATGGGACCCATTACCGACACCCATGGGGAGGTAGGGTAACCCATTACCACTACCACCCTGGGGACGGTAGGAAACCATTACACTATACCCCCTTGGGCAGGGGTAGGAACCCATTACACTACACCCAGTCAGGAGGCACCCTGGGGAAAGGTAGGGACCCCATTACACCTACACCCTGGGGAGGTAGGGACCCATTACACTACACCCTGGGGAGGGGTAGGGACCCATTACCCATACACCCTGGGGAGGTAGGACCCATTACACTACACCCCCGGGGAGGTAGGGAAACCCATTACACTCAACACCCTGGGGAGGTAGGGAACCCCATTACACTACACCCTGGGTCAGGTAGGGAAACAATTACACTACACCCTGGGCAGGTAGGAACCCATTACACTACACCCTGGGGAGGTAGGAACCATACACTACACCCTGGGAGGTAGGAACCCATTACACTACACCCTGGGCAGGTAGGAACCCATTACACTACACCCTGGGCAGGTAGGAACCCATCACACTACATCCTGGGCAGGTAGGAACCCATTACACTACACCCTGGGCAGGTAGGAACCCATTACACTACACCCTGGGCAGGTAGGAACCCATCACACTACACCCTGGGCAGGTAGGAACCCATTACACTACACCCTGGGGAGGTAGGGACCGGACACTACACCCTGGGCAGGTAGGAACCCATTACACTACACCCTGGGCAGGTAGGAACCCATTACACTACACCCTGGGCAGGTAGGAACCCATTACACTACACCCTGGGCAGGTAGGAACCCATTACACTACACCCTGGGGAGGTAGGAACCCATTACACTACACCCTGGGGAGGTAGGAACCCATTACACTACACCCTGGGGAGGTAGGAACCCATTACACTACACCCTGGGCAGGTAGGAACCCAATATTCCACTATACCCAGTCAGAGGGCACTGTGGCCTGGTAAGGAGCCTGATTGAAATGTTGCTGCACTAAATACCTGAGAGCATTGTGTTATTTTCTTCACAACACTACATACCCTGCAAAAGAGGCTTTCAGGTTGAGGTGCACCCCTCAACACTCCGGTTGAAGTTTCCCCTATGCTGATCTAGGATCAGCTTCCCCTCCCTCAATCCTAACCTTAACCAATAGTGGGCAAATGCAGAACTGACCGAAGATCAGCGTCTAAGGGGAACTTCACCCTACACACCCCTCAACACTGATACCTGTCTTTTGCAGTTTCTGATTGGGAGAGAAAATGGAGGATTTCCAGATGAGATCTTGAGCCACAAGCATTCCAGACCATTTATCTTCAAGTCAGATGAAGGACTTGAAGATCAGTATGTTGTTGCATAACCCCATTGTGTCCCGAAATGTCTTTGATACTCTCGTTTCAATTAATATTCCATATTGTCCTGTGCTTGTATGGTTCCTCTAGCCTGGTCCCAGATCTGTTTGCGTTATATGATCATGTAGGAGTTGGCTATACAGCACAAACAGATTTGAGAACCGGTTGTTTCCATCGGTTACTTACCCTACCGTATCCTATTGTATAAATTGTAAATACTGTATCATTAATGTGTGTGCCTTTTCATGAAGAAACAGACTAATAAACAATAATTAAAATGAAATTATCAGTTTATTATTCCATAAAAACAGACAGGTTAAAACTATATACAGTAGCGGAAGCATGCAATAGAACTGATACAATACATTTAACATGGTTGAAGGTGTGTCTGTGTAGGTACAAGTTGCTCCTAAGCACTGACACAGGGTCAGATATCATCCCTCATAATGGTTATGATTGAGCATTGGGAAACTGATCCCAGATCTGAGGTTAAGGGCATCTTCTACCTACAACAAACCTTTGTGTGCGACTGGAGGCTCGGATTAGGATGAGGGTGGGGATGTGTAGTCATGACGATATTGGGGGTTGCTATGGTATCCCAGGCGCTCCCCACAGATCAGACTGTGGATTAGCCACTCTGGCGACACCATGGGTACTTCCTGTGATGTCACACTCTTCAGAACCAATGACGGACAGGTGCGGTCTGTGACCACCACGTCAAACTTGCCCCCAGGAATGTCTGTTGACGCAAACGGAAGACACGTTATGAAAGCAGACATCCAGAACATGCATTTGTCTCTACTCAAGGCTTTTACAGAGGGGGATGTAGAACAGAAAGTGGGCTGGAGAACAGAAAGTGGAAAAGGTGGATTGAACCCGTGACCTTCAGGGCTAATAAGTGTTAGGGGTGTTGCCATACAGGCACACCAAAATGTTTGTTTTGTTTATTTTCAAGCACAGTGCTAGGTCATGATTAGTAAGGGACAGGCGAGCATGTATTGTACTGTGCTATACGTACCAGAGCTGTCCTTGTCTGCTTGGTGCTGTCTCACAGAGGAAGCTCCACTCATCGTCAGCAGCTCAGACCACAGCTCCACCGGCTTCTCAAATACCAACAGGACCCGCAGGGCCTTGAACGGGCTGCAGCGCGGATGCCTGATCAAAATAAACAACACAATGCATTCCCCTCAGCACATCGACCATATTAATACTTGAAGTGTTTTGTTCACTTTGAATGCATGCCTCCTGAGGTGTTGAACTGTTTCACTCTATAGCCACCATGGTTATTTGTTTTAACCTGCTAGTCATCAAGGAACGTTTGAACAGATCTGGCCACATGTACTCTTAAATCTCCACCTGGTACAGCCAGAAGAGGACTGGCCACGCCTCAGAGCCTGGTTTCTTCCTAGGTTCCTGCCTTTCCAGGGAGTTTTTCCTAGCCACTGTGCTTGTGTATTGCTTGCTCTTTGGGGGTTTTAGGCTGGGTACCTGTAAAGCACTTTGTGACAACTGCTAAATGGGATTGATTGATAGGCTGTGGATGCCATTATAATAGTAGACTACCAATGTTTACATTTGTACCACTTGAGAGTGCCGACTTAAAGTGCCTGCATTAATATTCCTGTGCATATGATAGTGACAGGAGTAGCCTGACATCATTTTCGGATAGAAGCAACTAGAATCCTCACCATTCCACTATGCGGTCGTCGGGGCCCACTCCGGCGGGCAGCAGGTAGTTCCTGTAGTTGAGCAGCTTGCCCTCCTTGCAACTGTCCCTCACCCAGATGTGAGACACACACGGCACACCACTGGCCACACACAGCAGGTACTTCCTGGTTCGGCTATGCTGGTCGGTGATCAGCAGGCTCTGATAGGCCGCCTTGCACTGCGGAGGGAGGGAATCACAAGAGAGGACACTTCAGGATGGGCAATATGACGTAGAAATGGAATATGTAGAACGAAAGCTAAACATTCCATTCTTTCAGTGGAGTAATTGAGGGGAAAAACTGCTGAAATGGGACTTGAACCAGGGACCCTTTGTTTACAGAGCAAGTGCACTACCTCCAGTGACATACTGTATAGGTGCAGACCTCTTGGCAGAGGATGTAGTGCGCCTACATAAAGTAATGCCTCCCTACTGTAGCTTCTCTCCATATTCCAGGAGAACTGACATGGCTGTAGAAGTGTGCTCAGAAGTAATTATATCTCTATGGGTGTTCCATCTCACCTGTTCCTCGTTGAAGTCCTGGAGGATGAAGCCTCCTCCGGCCTCCAGCTGGGTCTCAGTGTAGCGTTTGTGATAGGGGGCCGTCTGCACGTACTCTATTGGAGGGAAAGGACAACGTACAACGTGTTAACATAGACAGTCATAGAGCAAACACACACATGGAGAGATCTTTAGCTGTCATTTAGATAAGCATTAAAGGATGTGTGTGTGTCAAATTAATTAAATACATTTCATTGAGGCTGCGCAGACCACTGTGGAAGACCTTTGCCTAAAACTAACCAGATCCCTGGGCAGAATTCTTACTTGAGATCCATGTACTCAGTTGAATTTTTCTAGCATGTTTCCCATTGACATCAATGAATGATTAACAACAAAGTCTCAAAGTTAGGATTCCGCCGATTATGATTCATCTGTCAAACATTAATATTGGGATGAACAACAAATTAGAGACCCCCTGAACAACAAATTAGAGACCCCATAAGAATTAAAATGTAAATGTGGGGCTCCCCCAAAAAGTCACAAGATTTCAATGTTGGGCACCCCCAAAAGACAATATATAATTTGAACACTGGAATGAACTATCCCTTTAAGGGGTGTTCCACTGTCTGGAACTACACAAGGGTTTGATCCAAAATCGACCCCTAGACCCTAGAGATCTGACTGGATTTGACAGGTGTATGCAATTTGGTAATAGCTCCACTTTGCCCTTTGATAGGCGAGATGAAAGTTTCACCATATTGCTTATACCGATCAAATCCTCTCCGATCTCCACAAGGACGTAGGGTTTAGGGGTAGATTTGGGATTGGGCCATAGCCTTCTCACCCTCCTCGCCGTCGCTGATTGGCTGGTTGGTCTGGCGGTCGCTCTCTGACGATGCCGTCAGCATGAAGGCAAAGCCCAGGAAGAGAGATGCACTCTGGGGCAGCGGGCCGTGGGTCTCCAGCAGGGCACCATGGTCGCAGGGCAGGTCAGTGCCACTGCCTGAGGTGTTACACACACCAACCCGCTGACCTGTGGAGAGGGATGGATGGATGGACGGAGACAGACAGTCAGAGAGACACACATAAACAGAGAGAGAGAGAACGAGAGAGAGAAATAGACAGCAGAAATTAGAAACCATTAATGAAACAGTAGGAATTGTATATTTCAAGAGAGAAAAGGTCTATGAAGCGAAAGAGCTTTATAACAGACTGAGGAAGAACAGGAATACCACCGGTGCAGTAAAACGTGAGGTTCAGCCCTTCAAACAACTAAAGGAAAACAGGTGATCCGTGCGTGGTTCAAAGGGGTGAAAAGTTTATGGAAAGACACCCCTCTAAGCAAATAACAGTGGATACTATAAAAACACACCTTTACCTGTCTCCTTTACACACGTGGACCAACACCAAGTCTATTAGTAGTTATTCACATACCAACTCAGCCTAAGGTCTTCTGTCGCTCCGTTGGTAAAGCATGGCACTTGTAATGCCAGGATAGTGGGTTCGATTCCCAGGACCACCCGCACATAAAATGTATGCAGTATGCACGCATGACTAAATGGCATATAAATGTATTATTATTTTATCAGGAGAGGGTGGTGGTTGCAGTGTACCGTGGCGGTCAAAAATATATTTGTGGGTCTGAATACAAACTCACAGGCTTTCATATGACTGGTTATAGAATCTAGCACTACTAAGAGTACTCTTTACAGAAAATCTTTTAAAATCCCAAACCTTTGTTTATTTAAAATGTTGGTGATTAAACAATCCCATGACAAACAAAGAGGTGTAATGGGTTCTCACTCAAAAAGATGTCGCATAAAGCTTACTTCATTACTCAATGTTTTTAATTATTTTCACTGCATCAGGGATAGCGTTACATTTTCATTGCATGCCCTGCCCTTATAGTTCAGATTACATTCAGAAAATAATTATGTTCAGAATTAAAATCATGCATTTAAAAAAGTACCAATACTGACTAAAACCAATTGTATTAATAAATAGTGCATTTAAAATGTATATTTGCAGCAGTCTAAAAATTCTGCACCCCACTGAGCCATATTATGTTAAATCAATATAGGTATGCATTCACTAACTGTAAGTCGCTCTGGATAAGAGCGTCTGCTAAATGACTAAAATGTAAATGTAAATTTCTAGAATGTATAAAATGCCTCCACCTATCCAAAGCATCACCAAGGGCTCTCAGTCCACTGTTCTGGGGTCAGGTCTGTAGGGCTAGCTCAGCGATCTATGCTCTGAGGTTGGGGTTGAGGTTTGGGCTGTGGCTTAGTGTTAAAAAGGCTGGGGCTGGGTTTGGGCATTTGAGGTTTTGGGTTGACATTTAGGTTCAACCTAAATGTTAGAGGTTACAGTTGAGAGTTTAGGCTTGGACACAGAGGTTAGGTTTAGGGTCAGCGTTAAGGTATGGTGTCAGGGTTAGGGTGACCAGGTCTCCGTACCGGCTCTGGGTCCTCCTCCCCCCCTGCGGCCTCGCTTAGCCGGGGTCCTCTCCCTGTCCCTGTCCTCAGAGCTGATCAGCTTCCTCTTCCCAGAGGGGCCGGGGGTGCGGGGGCTGTCCGAGCTGCGGTTGGGGGTCCCCTGGGCCCCCCCTGTGATCCCCCTGCGTCTCCTCTTCCCCTCCACCAGGTTATCTGTGGAAGACACCACCATAGAATGTGGGGGTGGGCACAGCAATGTCACAAGTCATCACACTTGACACTGAAATGACACTAACATTTAACCTCATTTCTGTTTGATGAATCACTAGTTGATCCTCCCTGTATGAAGGAATCACTGTTTTCACAGAGACTTGGGAGTCTTTATAAAGCTTTGTGAAAAGTAGAGATGACTCAACTCAAACTTAAGGGTAGTACTGTAATATATTTCCTTATTGGGCAGTGCTCACATTATACCCTTTTAACATTATCATGCCAACCCAACCCAGACTGTACTGTACTGTGCTAGGTCCAATCATTTATTTTCACATTGTCCTTTCCAGAACCGTTCCAACAACTATTGTGGTAGCATAATCAGGCCAGTACAGCTCGGCTCGGTGTGGAGAGGGTACATTTGTATTTATTTTTACCCCTTTTTCTCCCCAATTTCATGATATCCAATTGGTAGTTACAGTCTTGTCCCATCGCCGCAACTCCCCTACGGACTTGGGAGAGGCGAAGGTCGAGAGCCATGCGTCCTCCGAAACACAATCCTGCCAAGCCGCACTGCTTCTTGACACACTGCTCACTTAACCCGGAAGCCAGCCTCACCAATGTGTCGGAGGAAACACCGTACAATTGGCGACCGTGTCAGCATGCATGCGCCCGGCCCGCCACAGGAGTCGCTAGAGTGCGATGGGACAAGGACATCCCAGCCGGCCAACCCTCCCCTAACCTGGACGACGCTGAGCCAATTGTGAGCCGACTCATGGGTCTCCCGGTCGTGGCCGGCTGCGACACAGCTCGGGATCGAACCCGGATCTGTAGTGACGCCTCAAGCACTGCAGTGCCTTAGACCGCTGCGCACTCGGGAGGCCGTGGAAAGGGTACTTGAGGTTCTTGCCAGGGCACGGCTATGTGGTTCTAACTCAGTCAGTCCTCAAAGCTTTGTGGTTGTCTTACCCAGGCTGATGTCGGAGGCCTTGGTCAGGGGCGTGGAGGGCTCGTAGGGCCCCAGGCCGTACTGTTCTCTCAGCCTGTTGCCTTGCTCCATGGTCAGGATGACGGAACTGCGGTTGTACCACTGCCTCTCTCCAGCTGTAGTGGCTGTAGTCTGGCCCTCCCTCTCTCCAGCTGTAGTGGCTGTAGTCTGGCCCTCCCTCTCTCCAGCTGTAGTGGCTGTAGTCTGGCCCTCCCTCTCTCCAGCTGTAGTGGCTGTAGTCTGGCCCTCCCTCTCTCCAGCTGTAGTGGCTGTAGTCTGGCCCTCCCTCTCTCCAGCTGTAGTGGCTGTAGTCTGTCCCTGCTTCTCCACACTGTAGAACAGCTCCTCGCCCTCCGTCTTGTAGCCCTTCACTAGACCTGGAGAGACAAGGCAAAGAGAGAGAAGGGTTGAAAAACAGTCAAATTCACATAGAATCATATCAGCAACATGGAGAAAAACCAATATAGGGAATTGAAGAGAGACTACAGCACACTGGTGATGTTAACGCTCCACTGAAGATCCATTACATTTGTAGAGAGTCAGGATCACTAATGTGTTGGAGCTTCTTTTCCATTTAAAGACAGAAATGGGAAAAGGGCCAACCACATGAAGAGAAAAGAGTTTCCAGTGACAGCCTGACTTCTTCTCAGCCATGGGGCTGTGTTGTGTCCCATTATTCTATCCTCTACTCCAAACCCATTCTAACCCCATTCTCTCTTCTCCTGTCTTCTCCTGTCCAGCATCCAGATTCTCCACACGTGTTTGCACACTCCCTGTCATGGGTTTAACCATGGGAGAAACTTCCTCCAGCCAATGCTTACACCAAACCAATCCAATGCTTTTAAATCCATGACAGGGATTGTTCAAGTGGAAACTTTGGGAGTGTAAACAATCTGTCCTCTCCCCTCCCCTTCTCATGCCGCATTTATAACAACTGGGAACTCAGAACTGGGAACTCGGAAATCTCCGACTTCCGAGCTTTCAAAACAACTGGGAACTAGGAAGAAAATGAGCTCTGACTGGGAAAAAACGATTCGAACGGTCATCCAACTCGGAATTCCAACTCGGGACCTCGGGTCTCTTTCTAGAGCTCCGACTTTCCGACCTGAAGATCACTGACGTCATGATTTGACCTCATATTTTTCAGAGTTCTTAGTTGTTTTGAACACGGCATCACCTGTGCTGAAGTACTCGTCCTCCAGCAGTGCCGTGACCTCAGTGTCCAGGGGGATGGGGTCACACAGCAGGATGTCCTTGCCCGTGACCTCGCACTCATAGCTGTCATCGAAGAGCAGCCGGAAACGCCCCTCGCCCAGGTCCTTGGTGATGCGGCCCGAGTAGAAGTAGCCGTTGCTGGACCACTTGGCCACCACGCGAAGCCCCACGAAGCTGCTCCCAGCTGGACTGCCTTCATCTGGGGAGGTGGTGGTGAGGAGAGACGTGGAGGAGTGGCTGGGGACCGCAGGGCAGTCTGGGATGCGCGGGGTGGGACACAGGCGGGTGTAGGGCTCATCCTCAGAGGAGGACAGGGGTTGGCCGCGGGCATTGGCACGCGGGACGCCGGCACCCCTGGCAGAGTCAATAGGACAAAGAGCACCATCAACGTTTTGAACATTACAGACAGATATGTTTAGAAACGTTATGTAAAGAATAGATCAGCATTACTTCTCCAGTGGAACAGACTAGTCATGTTCTATATACTGTACATTTCTACCAGTAGTGATTTAAAGTTTGGGTTCTTTATAGTAAATAAGAAACATACATATTAGACAGGGACAGTTGTGTTGCATTGAGATGATTAGTGAAGACAGGAAAAGGAGAGAGTTGTGTTGCATTGAGATGATTAGTGAAGACAGGAAAAGGAGACAGTTGTGTTGCATTGAGATGATTAGTGAAGACAGGAAAAGGAGAATGTTAGCAGTAACACAGTTTACAGGGCCATTTGGGATTGGGAGAGTAAACGGTAGCGGGCCAGTATGGGATTGGGAAGGAAAAGGTAACACTGGTTACCCAGGAGATGGATTGGAAGACGAACAAGGAGGGAAGTTGGTTGGAGGAGAAGTAACACTGGAGGGGAAGTAAGGGGATTGGGGGAGACATAAACTGGTTAAGCAGGCTTTATTGGATTGGAGAGACAGTAACACTGGTACAGACAGGAGGGATGGAGAGCATAACACTGGTTAGAGGGACATTGGGATGGAGAGAAGTAACTGGTTGCAGGGTAGGGGATTGGAAGACGGAAAACGGAGCAGGCCGTATGGATTGGGAGACGGGTAAGGGTAGCAAGGGCCATATGGGTTTTGGAAGACGAACACTGGTTGCAGAGTAATTGATTGGAAAAGGGAAAGGACACGTTGGCAGGAGTTTTGGGAGGAAGAAAAGGAGAATGTTAGCAGGGACAGTATGGGATTGGAGAGACAGTAACCCTGGTCTATAACAAATACCTGCGGTACTGCAGCTCTCTGTGAAGAGCAGGTTGGAGGATCCTTGTTCTAAAGCCATTTCTGTACTCTATGCTAAGGTTTCATTATATATCTCAGTGTCTGTCATCTCAGGTTTACTTGTTTTCAAAGTTTGGAAAAAACATACACGCACCTACACGTTTTAGAACGCTGAATGATGTCGGGAAGCAACCAACTCCCATGTGTCCATGTGTTGCACACCAGTTGAATCGCGTTGCATCACAATTTTGGGAAGGCACAATTGGCTACGTACGTGCTGGCGTGGATGTAGTTGTGTTTGAACATGCAGCTAATGTCTGCTTTTGATGATGTCACTAGGTGTTTCTGGAACTCTGACCCACTACAGCTCCAGTGGCGTCCCTAGACAGGGCTCACCTGGACAGAGGTGAGCGGGACGGAGGCCTGCCCCGCCTGGCTCTTCCGCGGGGCGTCAGTGGGGTGAAGGCCCGCGACCCATGAAGTCCTTGAACTCTCTCTCCCATGAACTCTGACCCCGCCACTTGACCCCTGTGGCCCCTCTGCTGCGGCCCACTACCCCTCCTGGGGCTGCAGACAGAGAGTAGAGGGACAGGGAAGGATGAATCATCCCATAAAAGCTGAACTAAGGTCAGTTTTATGTTTTTCCTCATGATTAGGGTTAGGGTTGGGGGAAGGTTAGGGTTGGGGGAAGGTTAGCTGATCCTAAATCTGTGCCCAGGCCAAGTCCTACCAAGAGAGGGACGGTCCACACAGCAGACAGGGGGCAGATGATGGACACCCATACTGTGGCCACATGGGTTGGTCCAGGTAGGGGAGCAGTTGTGGATAAGGCCTTACCATATGTGTTGATAGGGGGATCTTAGAATAACTTATCTGGGTGTTGGGTTGGGGGGTTGTGGATGTGGCGGAGGGGTAGTTAGACAGTGGACAAAGTCAAAGACTGACATTTGCATGCATACCTGTCAACACGTGAGAGTGGTTAAAAGCATAGACATAGAATGTCACTTCTAGTAATTCTATTTCTATGGTTAAGAGGGAACTTAAAGATACTGAACCCTTGTCTAGTATAGGAATGATTTAGTTTCTCCCATGTTTGTGTTGTTGACAGGTGTGCAAATGTGAGTGCGAAGACAACAGAGATTAAGACTAAGAAATAAGCACAGTAAATAGTGTCAGAGCATGGATATAAATCATGTTACAAAAGACTGAGGGCCACTCATTACAAGAAGGCAGAAGGCAGTCACTAGACGGAAATGTCGGAGGTCAATTCCATCAATTCAGATCAGGAAAGGAACTGCATGCATACATTTTTTTATATAATAATCCAATTCAAACCCATGTCCATTACAGTACCTGGCAGACTTGGCCCCTCGGCTGGGCGGCATGATAAAGTCGGGGTCCCTCTGGGCAGGGCCCCTGACTGTGCTGGTGCCCCCGGAGCTGTGCTGCAGGCTGGAAGCCTTGGAGGACAGAGAGCTGACATCACCCAGGTCACCGGAGGTCATGGAGCTGCCGGTGCGACACGGAGAGATGTCGCTGTCCAACACACGGCTGTCCACCACCGGCTCCTCTGACTCCTGAGGAACAGAAAGAAGGGACACACATGCACGCATACACACACACCAAGAAGACACACACACACACCGGGAAGACACACACACCGGGAAGACACACACACACACCGGGAAGACACATACACACACCGCAACAGTGAGGCGTAATCAATGACAAAAAGAACGAGTTGGAGAAAGTAAAGGTCTATGAGCTAAATGCCTTGCTTGGTCCCACCTCAGTGACCTTACGGTCCACCTCTCTCCCATCCTCGTAGTACACATCTGTGATGATGCGTGTGACCGTCGTCCGCACTTCCTGAATGGTCCGCACGTGTCTGCGATGGGCGGGGCCGGCGGCTGCCCTCGAGGGTGGGGTCTCTGGCTCGCCCTGTCACACAGAAGGGGGTGGAGTTAACCCTTGACCCTCAGCACGTGTTCTTTGCTTACACATATCAGGGGCTGTATGTATGAAGTATCTCAGAGCAGAAGTGCTGATCTAGGATCAGTTATGCCTCAGAGATCATAATGAATAAGATTACATAGGCAGGTTGGACGTGATCCTAGATCAGCACTCCTGAGACGTTTGATACATACGGCCCTTGATCTGCTACAAGGTCAATCCAGTTTTATATTCTGTCAAAGATCATTTCAGTTTACTTCCTGATTTTGATAAAACCATAAAATACAATAAGCAATTGTCAATTCATGAATTGAATTTCAAACATGATGCCAATCCTGATCTGCTAACCGTTAAGGTGTAGGGGCTAGCAGAAGGGACAATGGTTTGTTTCTGTTCCATTTTGACATTGTAAGAAGGACAGGAGGTGTGAGGTATCTAAGGACCCTTACGCTGGCTGTTGGAGACCTGGGGCCAGCCGCATCAAAACTGGTCTGCTGAGACGCCACTCTCTGACAGAGCTAGAGGGAGAGAGACGAGGAAGCATGAGGACATGAGACAAGCAACGTGGATGAAGAGAGAGAGAGAGAGAGAGAGAGAGAGAACATGAGGACATCAGACAAGCAAGGTGGATGAAGAGAGAGAGAGAGAGAGAGAGAGAGAGAGAGAGAGAGAGAGAGAGAGAGAGAGAGAACATGAGGACATAGACAAGCAAGGTGGATGAAGAGAGAACAGAGAGGACGAGAACACTAAGACATGAGACAACAACTGGATGAAGACAGGAGAGAGAGAGAGAGAAGAGAGAACATAGGATATGAGACAAGCAGGTGGATGAGAGAAGAGAGAGAGAACACATAAGGACATGAGACAAGCACGTTGGATGAAGACAGAGAGAGAGAGAGAGAGAAGAGAACATGAGGATATGAGACAGCAGGGTTGATGGAGAGAGAGAGAGACGAGAACACATAGGACTGAACAGCAACGTGATGAGACAGAGAGAGAGAGAGAGAGAACATAGGAATGAGACAAGCAAGGTGGATGGAGAGAGAGAGGGAGAGAGAGAGGGAGAGAGAAAACATGAGGACATGAGACAAGCAAGGTGGATGAAGAGAGAGAGGGAGAGAGAGAGAAAACATGAGGATATGAGACAAGCAAGGTGGATGGAGAGAGAGAGAGACGAGAACACATAAGGACATGAGACAAGCAACGTGGATGAAGACAGAGAGAGAGAGAGAGAGAGAGAGAGAGAGAGAGAGAGAGAAACATGAGGATATGAGACAAGCAAGGTGGATGGGGAGAGAGAGAGAGAGAGAGAGAGAGAGAGAGAAAACATGAGGACATGAGACAAGCAAGGTGGATGAAGAGAGAGAGAGAGGGAGAGGGAGAGAGAAAACATGAGGACATGAGACAAGCAAGGTGGATGGAGAGAGAGGGGGGGGGGGGGGGAATGGCGGTTAGGCTAGAAGAATAACGGACAGGAATCTCATCATCTCTTTCTATTCCCTTTAATATGATCAACCATATCATTGTAGCTACCCAGTGGCTCTTACCTTACTGGGTGAACTGGGAGAGATGGTGTTGTCAAAGCTTGTCTGCTGGGACACAGCCCTCTGTCTGATGGCAGCGGCTCTGGTGGGGGTGGATGGCTCCGGGGGCCCACACGACTCTCTCTCCCCAGCTGCGGTGCCTGTCTGTGGGGTAGGCACTGCTGGATGGCCTGGGGTGGATGGTTCAGCTGGAGGCGCTTTCTCTCTGAGCCCCAATGGCAACATACACTTCACTTCCTGGCGGGGGCTGGAGGGGGGCTCCGATTGGCTGTTGGGGAGGCTGATGCATCCAAGGGAAGGAGAGGAGATGGTGGGTCTTTGGGAGCTTGTCTGCTGTGAGGGTGAGCTGAACAGTTCCCCTCTGTGAAAGGTGAGAGAGACATTTCATATGTCAATGGCACAATCAATCACTTTCATTGTGTGGTGAGCGTTCAAGAGACAAAATGGCAGCCGTGCATCACCCAGAGGGGCGCTACACATGGATGGGGTGAGTCCGTACACTATAAAGCCCTTTCAGGACTAATGAAAATACATGTATGCACATATAAATATACAGTGCCTTCAGAAAGTTTTCATATCTCTTGACTTATTCCACATTTTGTTGTGTTAACATAGGGTGGCGCACAATTGGCCCAGCGTTCGTCCGGGTTAGGTTGGCTCATCACGCTCATTTAGGCTTGCCATAACAAAGGGGTTGAATACTTATTGACTCAAGATATTTCAGATTTTTATTTTTTATTAATTTGTTAAAATTCCAAAAGTCAGAATTCCCCTTTGACATTATAGGGTATTGTGTATAGGCCAGTGACAAAAAAATATCACTTTAATCCATTTTAAATTCAGGCTGTAACACACCAAAATGTGGAAAAAGTCAAGGGGTTTGAATACTTTCTAAAGGCACTTATATAAGGGCTGATATCATCCTTTGCCAAATGTTAATAAAGGTTTCAGTATTGCCTCTGTAGTCCTGTAATGGTAGGCCAGAGACAGAGAGCAGGTACAACTAGGGCTATGGTGTGTGGTGTGGACACCTTGATAATGACCTTGTTATAACACCCCGACAGGACAAAACCAGACAGAGCCTCCATCTCTCTGAGGGGGCATGAATGGTACCCAAAATAGCTAAGAAGTAGGTCTCTCTCGTACGCACGCACATAACCTACTTCCAGAATTGTAAAGATATACCAGGACAGGTGGAGGGCTGTCAAGGTCAAATGGACACAATATTGGAGCAGCATACTAGTGTCCCTTGTTGATCTCAAACTGTCATACCGGAAAACTTCAATTAATAGCCCAGATGTTTATTTGCTTAAATCCCTGAACACAACAGGCTTCTATTAGAGACAGGCTTCTATTAGAGACAGGCTTCTATTTGAGCCAGACATCTTTTCCTTAATGCACACAGCTTTTGCTAATTTGCATAGTTAATTGTTTAATTCCAGCATTATAATATATTTTATTCATTTCCTGCACTGATGTGTTATCATTTACACACTGTCAAATTGTTTGTCTTAGTATGCCTCTATATAAAAAATAAAAAAAACATTTCCTTGACAATAATTGTTCTCCTCTTTGACTGTGCAATTTAGGCAATTCTTACTTTCGCCACTAGAGTGCGATCGGAAGATTTCTAGGGTTCTCAGCAGTTAGAAGCCAATAGCTAGCAGTTTTTTACTGGTGATAAAAACAGATGACTGCCATCATTACTGAATTATTGAATGTAACAAATCAAACATTAAACCTCGTAAACAATTCATGGTAACAATTAATTTAGACCCAGCGTTTATTTCAAACAGGCGTTTATTTGCTGAAATGTGTGCCACTGCCGGCTTTTAAAAGGGACAAGCAGCTATTTGAGACTGTATTTCATTGACGTTTTACAGTACTTTAAAACAGAATGGATACTCTGAGGCCACTATAGACATTAGGCTTGTGTGGCTACTAGGCTCTCATTATGGCCAGCAGGGGGAGCTATTATACTGGGAATCAACAAACTATACTTCAGGTCGGCACCAAATGTTCAGAGACAAACGTTACAGTTTTCAAAGGTGCTTAAAATAACTATCCTTATCATCATCGTTATGAGAAATGACATGAGGTAAGTAAGCAGGGTCGTGTTCAGCAGGCATGCAGCGGAAGAGATCAGTGCGAAACTGGGAGGTAGCCTACAATCCAAATGTATCCACTAAGAAACGCTCGTTTTAGTTTTGCATTGCGCAACATTTAAAAAATGTTGTGCCACACTGTGACCTGATGAACACGACCCAGGTCAGAGGCCATACACGTTGTTTACCTGACAGGGGTTCCAGGGCCACTGGGATGGGCCTCGGCCTGGTCCTCCATCACCTGTCTGTGGGCCTCCCTCACCCTGCTGAACACAGAGGGGCTGGGCAGGGGGCTGGGGAGGGGGACACTGGTCAGACAACAAGCCAATAGTATGTCATCAAATTGCCTTGCAATGCAGTTGCTGTATTCTCCATTTCCCTTGGGGAAGAACGGAAATGTGTCTTTATACTTGAACCAAACCCCCCCGACACACACACACACCACACCACAGAGAGATCCCCTGAGCAGCCAGGGGATAAGTGCCTTGCTCGACAACGGCAGGTGACGGAATCTAGGATACTGACGCCAGCAACCCTCCAGCGAATTCATAACTACTTTTGTAACCCGAGTGTCAACTCAACTGTGCATGGTAAAAGGATGAGCTACTCACAAACACACCATGGAAACCAAATGACCTGACATAAAGTCAGGTAATACATGTATATGCAAATACATGCAAATGTCAGCCATTATCATTCACTTACGCATCTGATGGTTGTAACATACTGTATTAAGCATCTTTGTATCTATACAAATTATTATTCTATAATACTCTCAACAGGGTTCTTATTTGGGGTACAGAGTACAAATAGGCATCCCAGTATGAAAAAAGTATGAAAATGTATGCACTCACTACTGTAAGTCGCTCTGGATAAGAGCGTCTGCTAAATGACTAAAATATATTTTTAAAAATATGAAGCTGAATCGTGATAATGAGTTGTAGGAATACATTTGGGAAACGGCTCAAATCCCAGGCAGGGGAAAAAGTCTGAAATCGGGCTGCCTTGCATAGAATCCAAAGCGGGTTACCTGGTTACAGCCTTGACAACGGTGGTAACCTTGGAGACAGAGCCTTCCTCGTCTGATAGCGGTGGCTCTGGGAGGAAAATAAAAGCGTTTCATTTGGGCTTTTTGGGGGTTGAACAAAATAAATCAACAAACTGAGACGTCTATTCTTGCAGTAAAGGTGTGAGTCAGCAGAGGATGTCACATTTCTATACATCAATGGATACGCTTCAGTAGTTATATGAAACCCCTTTAATTCTATGTACATAGTTGGAGATTGTTTGATGCTGTATGCGTTTTCTGTGAATTTCTATAGACCACTGTACCATTTGAAAGATAGTCACTTGCCCCTCAATGGCATCAACACACAGAATCATAAGAAAATAACATACAGATCTCTTGAACATCCATAGGCAAACCAAAAGGTAACATACGTGGTCATATCATGTCACAGTGGTCATAACCTGTTTATAAGCAGGCATTGGAATGTAAACCATTACAACAGCTATCATTTCTATTCCAGTGGTAATAACGTGGTAACCCAGCAGGCCTTAATGAGGAATGTTATTTCTCTTGTTTTTTTTAGGTAATGACATCATAATGTATTTGTATTGTGTGTCTATCTTTATTTGATTGTCATGTTTACCCCTCAGCTCCCTCTGCTTGAATCTCTTGATTGGGCCAATCCATTGGGCTCCCAAGTGGCGCAGCGGTCTAAGGCACTACATCTCAGTGCTTGAGGCGTCACTACAGACCCCCTGGTTCGATTCCAGGCTGTATCACAACCGGCCGTGATTGGGAGTCCCATAAGGCGGCGCAAAATTGGCCCAACATCGTCCGGTTTGGCCGGTGTAGGCCGTCATTGTAAATAAGAAAGTGTTCTTAACTGACTTGCCTAGTTAAATAATGGTAAAATAAAAATAAATAAAAACTGACTGGGATTTTATAACTATGCCCACCTGTGTGTTGTTTTTGCTGTGACACTGATTGCCATTGCCTTGCACGCTGAAGAAGGGCTCATACCCGAAATGTTTGTGCGGCAATAAAAATATGTCAATTTAAGTTTATTTACCGGAGTGCTGTCCTATTTCTGTTATTTGAATAATGAGGTAATAACGTGGTTATAACACATTAATTAGCGGCCTATAACAGCTCTTACTCTGCAAGCTGAAGCGCTCTGAGCTGCCCTCCTCCACAGGCGTCACCAGCTTCATCCGCAAACTCAGTTTCCCATCATCCCCTTCGGCCGTGTCCTCGCCACTCTCCCCCGCCATGATTTCACTGGTCGCCATCGCTGTCTCCGTGGAAACGTCACCCGCCGCCGCAGACTTCTCAGAGAAGAAAGTTATCTCTGAGGAAAACAAAAAGAGCCAACGACCACCACAATGTAATCGGATCAGATCAGAACCTCTCCGGATCAGATCAGAGCCCCTCCGGATCAGATCAGAGCCCCTCCGGATCAGATCAGAGCCCCTCCGGATCAGATCAGAGCCTCTCCGGATCAGATCAGAGCCCCTCCGGATCAGATCAGAGCCCCTCCGGATCAGATCAGATCCCCTCCGGATCAGATCAGATCCTCTCCGGATCAGATCAGAGCCTCTCTGGGGGATTCTAGTAGTGAACCATGATACTGGAATGATGAGTGGAGGTGAGTGGGAGAACAACAGTGTTTGTGTAAAGGAGTAGGTGGGAGAGAGTGTGTGTGTGTGTGTGTGTACCTGGGTGGGTGAATAGGAGAGAGAGGGTGAGTTTGTATGTTTATGTGTGAGTGTGTGTGTGTGTGTGTGTGTGTGTGTTTGTTTGTTTGTGTGTGGTTAGGTAGGTGGGATAGAGAGTGAGTGTAAAGTGAGGTGTGAGAATGTATATGTGGTTAGAATACTTTGCTTCAGTTCACACAGTAAATCTGGCTATGGAGAGAGCCAGGTGATAATAGCCTCCTGTAGCTCAGTTGGTAGAGCATGGCGCTTGCAACGTCAGGGTTGTGGGTTCGATTCCCACGGGGGGCCAGTATGAAAAATGTATGCAACTGTAAGTCGCTCTGGATAAAAGCGTCTGCTAAATGACTAAAATGTAAAATGTAAATAATATTTCCTGAGAGGGAGAAACCCACCAATCGGAGTGCTGTGTCTCGGTGTCTGCTTCAACTGGCTGATCAGAGGGGGAGTGGCACTCACAGGAGGGCCAATCAGCTCGCCTTCTTTGGGGAGAGTGAAGTGGAATGGGATCTCTGCAGAGGACAAATATTAATACAAACAACAACCATTACAATCTCTGAACTGAATGTAATAGCTTCAAAATGACAAGCTATCGCTAAGGCTTATATAGTCCTGGTAACCCAATGGATTCACTGCAGGGACAATACACTTTGAATTAAATAGAGTTGGCCAATAGTCTTTCATCACTGCCTTCCCTTCATGGCCACTGATCTGAAGGGACTAGGACACATGAAAGCAAGTGGAGGAAAACCTATCAAGTATTTTCACCTATCAGTGGTCAGAAAGGCAAGCACAAAGCTGTTAAATCAATAAGAATACCCTTTTTTTTATGGAACCCCCCCCCATCCCATCCCATCCCAAATATACCCCTGGTGACCCACTCCCAACCTCGGTCTACACACAATATATTGGACAAAAACAAACTTCTATCTACTTCATTGATTCTTAATAGTCTTTCCTAGATTCCTCGTGTCCTCTCTCCTCAAAACGCACTGGAGGAGGTCTGAGGGAAGAAGGTCTGAGGTTCCTCCCCTCTGATCTTTTCCTACAATGTGTTTTGAGAAGGAAAGAAAGGAATCAAGGAATCAAGAAAGCACTATTGAGTCACCCTATATCTCCACAGGCATCTAGGCGTCTCACCTCCAGAGCTGTCACTGAGGCTCTTGTCACGGAGCCCCTCTGCTTCCCTAGACCCTCCCTTTTCAGTCTGGGAGAGTCCGATTGGTACCCGCTGGGTGTCCTTCAGCTGTGACCCCGTGCCATTTGACGACACCGACCCCCGCCGGCTTGCCACTGGCTGAGACGTGCCCATCTTCGACGGCGACGTCACTTCCTTCTCCAGGAGCTGGGAGCTCCTCTCGCTCTCCTCCAGCACAATGACGCTGCCGCAGCTCTCCTCCTCTCCTCCTCCCTCGCTCCTGGAGTGCGAGACAGGGAACCTCCCTTGTTTTTCTTCCTCCTCTCCTCCTTCCTCCATGGGCTCTGGAGAAAGCACCTGGCTCTGAGAGAGAGACAGATAGAGGCCTGAGCCCTCGGGCCCCAATGTGCTGTCCTGCTGCTTCTCTCCCTCCTCCTCCTCCATCTCTTCTTCATCTGCTATGTTTTTCTCCTTGGGGCTGTTGGTAGCAGTGCCTCCACGCTCCTGTGACAAAGACTGTCTGGATTTAGCCGGGTCCTGGTTTTTCTGTGAGCTTATCGGGCTTCCCACTCCTCCTCCTCCGGCTTCTCCTACTTCTCTCCTTCCTCCTCCATCTCTTCTAGAGTCTACAGAAACACCTGGACTCGGCGAGAGAGCCTTCACTGAGCCCACGCGAGACATCTGTGAGAAAACAGACTGGGCTTGAGACTGAGACAGGGAGGCCAAACTACAGGGAGTGCTATTGGAGGAAGAAGGCGTCTCCTGCACACAGCTGCTAGGGGTTAACAAGTCTATGGTTTCAAGCTTCTGTTGGGAGGAGGGAGAGGGGGAAGAGGCCTTGGCATTCTGCTTCAGAGAACTATCTGTTTTGGTCACATTGATACCATCGTGACCTACATTCACACTGCGTACATTCAAGGTTGTCTGTTTGTGCGTGTCAGACTTCTGTGATGTGTTACATTCCTCTCTCCTGGCACTTTCCCCGCTAGTCTTCAGCAAGTCAGGCACCTGAGAAACTTTAGGCAAAATAGCAGAGGTTTTTGGGTCGGAGGGGACCCCGTTACTTTCCCTCTTCTGGCTGTTACATGACATTACAGAGTCACTGGTGTCTTTCCGTAGGGGTCCGTCCAGACCTTCTTCTATCTGTGTAGCCTGGCTGTCCTCCTCGACATCCTTCCCCCCAGCCTCCATTGAAGCCTGCTGGGCCAGACTACAGCTCTGAGTATTCACAGACAGCTCCAGTTGGAAAGAATCAGTCACAGAGCGTTCACGGTCAGTTGTTGTAGGTGCTTTGGGCTGGGCGGCTGCGGCGGCCATCTTGGATGAGCTTGACTCCAGTGATGTGGGTTGGGATGATGACGTCACTTTCCTGCTGTTCATCTCTTGTGGAGCTGTGCTACTGCTTCCAGCCTCTTGGCTCTGGGTTGGGACAAATACATCCTTTGGAAAGAGAAAAATAAGACACTAAATTGATGGTGTTTTATGAACCCATAGAAGGACTGATTGAATACTGAGATTCTTGATCATCATAATAAACCAATATAATCCATAATGAGTGAAGAATAAGGGGAGGTAAAGGTAGGTCCCTGGTCTCCATATATTGATACATTCAAACTGTGAAAGTTGTGTACTTGTAAAATGTCAGTACAGAAACGTAAAGACCTCACTCTTGCCTACTACTTACTAAAAGTATATACTATGTACTAACCATACTACATACTATTTAGAACAAACTGTTTAGTAAAAACATAAGCAGTAAGCAACAAATATCAACATACTGTGTGTCAGACTTTACTTTATTGAGGAAAAATTTACTTACTATGACTGAGATATGTGGTTGTCCCACCTAGATATCTTAAGATGAATGCACTAACTGTTAGTCTCTCTGGATAAGAGCGTCTGCTAAATGACTAAACTGTCAAAACGTAATACTAGGCTCATCCATACTGAGAAGGCGTCATCTAATGCACAATTTGGTTGTTCCCCCGCCATTCTTTCATTTTGGCACAGCCCGACCCCTTATCTGATTATCAGCTGTTGTCAAACACACATCGGTCTGAGAGTTCCTACTACATGGAAATCCATGAGTATGACATACAGGCATTTAAAGCAAACAACGTTTTCCAAATTCCACATATAATAAAACATTATATTTTTCACATTCCCAAACAGCCTACTATTTAGGACACAAAAACGGGTAACCGGACACGGCCATTGAGTTCAGTGCTAACTGAATAGATTTTTTCCACTGTCTGGTCAATGGAGTAAAGATACATACATGAGAGAACTCAGGCTGGGTAGGCAGAGAGAGGGTCCTCTCCAACACAAAATCTGGGGAGTTCTGGAATACTGGGGTGGACGCCGAGGGGCGTGACTTAGGAGCTGGGTCCATGTCCATTGGCTCCTCCTCCTTGCCATCCGATTGGTCCTCCGGAGGCATAGACGTGTCCATTGGTTCATCGGCACCTGCGGGGTTACCAGAAGTGTATCACTGAGTTCTATTTTTCAGCATAGACACTAAAACAACTGACATGTCAACTGGATAAAATAAAGTTTAGTTACCCATTTCATTTTCTTGTCCTGTCGGTGAACTGGGGACGATAAAAGGTGTTTGGCTCAAATTTTCCTGGGTGGGTGCTACAAAGTCAACAGAGTTCCTATAGGATCAGAAGGCAAAGATGAATGCAACAATCATTCTTCCTCTGAGGAGGACAACACAGAATTGCTGGATGTGTTCGGTAGGGACAAAACGATTTGAAACAATAAAGTGCTACCTCAACTTGTCCAATTGGAACACAGATTTTCCTTTTTCGTTGCAAAACGCTTTGGTACGCCTTGTCCTACTGAACACAACCCAGGCCAACCCAAACAACAGGACTACTACTCAGTGGGAGTGTGCAGTATAGTGTTGAGGCGAGAGTTGTCTTACTGGGATAGGCTCTCCTGCACCAGGGTGCCCTGCCCAGAGAGGTGCAGCAGACGCAGGGTGTTGGCGGGGGTAAGGGTGGGCACGGCTTGGTTCTCTGGCTCTGACACTGTGCTGTCCACCCTTGTGCCTAGAGAGAGAGAGAATGAGAGAGAGAGAGAACTCCATTAACATCTGTCCATTTTGTGATCAGTTGTTCATGTCAACTGTTGATAATTGCTCTCCTTGAAATTGTTTTGTGAACAACTGACTACACTTTTTTAACCTCTTCCAACAAGAGCTGCTCCAACTGGAGAAGTACTGTAAGCCCTGACAGTATATATCTTTAACACAGAGAGATAGTTTGGGTGAGTGGACAGATGGATGACCCACCTGTCCTGTCAGCGTCGAAGAGGTCCTCCTGAGAGGACAGCAGCTCAGAGTCGTCCCCTTTGGGATCCTGGTCCTCTGAGGCCTGCAGGCCCTGGGAGTGGAGCAAAGCCTGGACACTCAGTTCCCGGCCGGCCCGACCCAGGGACTCCGACGAGCTGCTAGAGCTCACCTCCGACCTGGGGGAAGAACCAGACACTTCATTTAACTAATGCCCAATTCCAAATCAACTCTTAGACCTTTCATTTACTTCTGGAGGTCTTAGAGAAGTTGATGTGAAAGCAATATGATGAAAATTCCACCTACGCTATTGGGCAAGATAGACTCATTACCATATTGCTTACATCTATCAATTCCTCCCAGAGCTCCACAGGTGCATAAGATAGCGTCTAGGAATCGATTTGGGATTGAGCAACAGAACTAACATGTGTAAATCTGTGAGGTATGGATCGATCATTTTGGGGCCGAATCCTAGCTTTATAAATGACTACCAATGTCCCACTGACATCAATGTTTCCTAGACGCTGTCTCTGCCAGGCCGGTTCCCCTCTCCACTGGGGTTCTCTGCCTCTAACCCTGTTGCAGGGGCTGAGTCACTGGCTTGCTGGTGCTCTTTCATGCCGTCCCTGGGAGGGGTGCGTCACTTGAGTGGGTTGAGTTACTGACGTGATCTTCCTGTCTGGGTTGGCGCCCCCCCCTTGGTTTGTGCTGTGGTGGAGACCTCTGTGGGCTATACTCGGCCTTGTCTCAGGATTGTAAGTTGGTGGTTGGGGATATCCCTCTAGTGGTGCGGGGGCTGTGCTTTGGCGGAGTGGGTGGGGTTATATCCTTCCTGTTTGGCCCTGTCCGGGGGTTTCTTCGGATGGGGCCACAGTGTCTCCGGACCGCTCCTGTCTCAGCCTCCAGTATTTATGCTGCAGTAGTTTATGTGTCGGGGGGCTGGGGTTAGTTGGTTATACCTGGAGTACTTCTCCTGTCTTATCCAGTGTCCTGTGTGAATTTAAGTATGCTCTCTCTAATTCTCTCGTTCTCTCGTTCTCTCTGAGAACCTGAGCCCTAGGACCATACGTCAGGACTACCGGGCATGATGACACCTTGCTATCCCCAGTCCGCCTGGCCTTGCTGCTATTCCAGTTTAAACTGTTCTGCCTGCGGCTACGAAACCCCTACCTGTCCCAGACCTGCTGTTTTCAACTCTAAATGATCGGCTATGAAAAGCCAACTGAGAGACCTGAGCCCTAGGACCATACGTCGGGACTACCGGCCGTGGTGACTCCTTGCTGTCCCCAGTCCGCCTGGCCTTGCTGCTATTCCAGTTTAAACTGTTCTGCCTGCGGTTATGGAACCCCTACCTGTCCCAGACCTGCTGTTTTAAACTCTAATGATCGGCTATGAAAAGCCAACTGAGATTTATTCCTGATTATTATTTGACCATGCTTGTCACTTATGAACATTTTTGAACATCTTGGCATGGTTCTGTTATAATCTCCACCCGGCACAGCCAGAAGAGGACTGGCCACCCCTCATAGCCTGGTTCCTCTCTAGGTTTCTTCCTAGGTTTTGCCTTTCTAGGGAGTTTTTCCTAGCCACCGTGCTTCTACACCTGCATTACTAGCTGTTTGGGGTTTTAGGCTGGGTTTCTGTACAGCACTTCGAGATATTAGCTGATGTAAGAAGGGCTATATAAAATAAAATTGATTGATTGATTGAATGTGTGATTCACGTGAATCTTCCAATTAAGGTTTACATTTTCAGCCTTCTTTTTAAAGGCCCAATGCAGCCGTTTTTATCTCAATATCAAATACATTCTGGGTAACAATTAAGTATCTTACTGTGATTGTTTTCAATTAAAATGGTCAAAAGAAACAAAAATAGCTTCTTTGAAAACAGCAACTTCCCAGCTAGGACTGTCTGGGAGTGAAAAAGTAGGGAGGGAAAAACTGAAAACTAGCTGTTAATGGCAGACAGGTTTGGAACTCTCTTTCTTATTGGTCTATTAACTAATTAACCGCCTGGTGATGTCACCAGGCAGGCCAAAACTCCATCCCACCAAAAAACAGGAAGAAATTATATGCAGTCTTTTCAAACAGCTCTTACGCTAAAAGGGCATTATCATAATTTTTTACAATTTCAGTATTATTCAAACCAGATAATGTGGAAATATACACTACCAGTCAAATGTTTGGACACACCTACTCATTCAAGGGTGTTTCTTTATTTTTTACTATTTCTTACATTGTAGAATAATAGTGAAGACATCAAAACTATGAAATAACACATGGAATCATGTAGTAACCAAAAAAGTGTTAAAACAAATCAAAATATATTTTATATTTGAGATTCTTCAAATAGCCACCCTTTGCCTTGATGACAGCTTTGCACACTCTTGGCATTCTCTCAACCAGCTTCATGAGGTGTCACCTGGAATGCATTTCTATTAACAGGTGTGCTTTCTTAAAAGTTAATTTGTGTGATTTCTTTCCTTCTTAATGCGTTTGAGCCAATCAGTTGTGTTGTGACAAGGTTTGTAAAAGACCAAGTCCATATTATGGCAAGAACAGCTCAAATAAGCAAAGAGAAACGACAGTCAATCATTACTTTAAGACATGAAGGTCAGTCAATACGGAACATTTCAATAACTTTGAACATTTATTCAAGTGCAGTCGCAAAAACCATCAAGCGCTATGATGAAAATGGCTCTCATGAGGACCGCCACAGGAATGGAAGACCCAGAGTTACCTCTGCTGCAGAGGATAAGTTCATTAGAGTTACCAGCCTCAGAAATTGCAGCCCAAATAAATGCTTCACGGATTTCAAGTAACAGACACATCTCAACATCAACTGTTCAGAGGAAACTGTGTGAATCAGGCCTTCATGGTCGAATTGCTGCAAAGAAACCACTACTAAAGGACAACAATAATAAGAAGAGACCTGCTTGGGCCAAGAAACAGGAGCAATGGACATTAGACCGGTGGAAATGTGTCCATTGTCTGGAGTCCAAATTTGAGATTTTTGGTTCCAACCGCTGTGTCTTTGTGAGACGCAGTGTGGGTGAACGGATGATCTCAGCATGTGTATTTCCCACAGTAAAGCATGGAGGAGGATGTGTTATGGTGTGGGGGTGCTTTGATGGTGACAATGTCTGTGATTTATTTAGAATTCAAGGCACACTTAACCAGCATGGCTACCACAGCATTCTGCAGTGATATGCCATCGCATCTGGTTTGCGCTTAGTGGGACTATCATTTGTTTTTTAACAGGACAATGACCCAACACACCTCCAGGCTGTGTAAGGGCTATTTTACCAAGAAGGAGAGTGATGGAGTGCTGCATCAGATGACCTGGCCTCCACAATCCCCCGATCTCAACCAAATGTAGATGGTTTGGGATGAGTCGGACCGCAGAGTTAAGGAAAAGCTGCCAACAAGTGCTCAGCATATGTGGGAACTCCTTCAAGACTGTTGGAAAAGCATTCCAGGTGAAGCTGGTTGAGAGAATGCCAAGAGTGTGCAAAGCTGTCATCAAGGCAAAGGGTGGCTATTTGAAGAATCTCAAATATAAAATATATTTTGATTTGTTTAACACTTTTTTGGTTACTACATGATTCCATATGTGTTATTTCATAGTTTTGATGTCTTCACTATTATTCTACAATGTAGAAAATAGTAAAAATAAAGAAAAACCCTTGAATGAGTAGGTGTCCAAACTTTTGACTGGTACTATATATAAAACACAGGAAAATCACGTTTTTGACTGCACTGGACCTTTAAAGCTTGACTCTCGAGCCCTTGTGGTACACTGAGGTTTTATGACAAAATATGATCTTGTAGGTATGCATCCTACAGATGGTTATTCTCACCTCTTGGATTTGCTGTCCTGACTGCCTGAAGGTAAGCCCGTTGTCATATTCTTCTGTTCACCTGGTGACAACAAAACAATGACAAGTCAACAAAATATGTTTCACTTTGATTTTAACTGGGTCCTATTCACTGCAGCAAAACATTTAGCAACAGGGGGAAAAAATGTCTGTGTTCTTATTCTTAATGAACATGTTCAGGGTCGTATTCATTAGGCACAATGTAGCAAAACATTTTGCTATGGAAAACGACATAAAAGCACATTTCTTACTGGACAAGTTCAGGTAGTCCCTCTCAGTTTTCCTCAGAAGTTCAGTTTGTTGCCTAATGAATACGACCCAGGTACTACCCCCCTATTTCTCCCAGTTTCAAACGTTTTCCACCTACTAAACACGACCCTGGACTCAGGTGAAGTAAAGATGACCTACCGGTAGTATTGTTACCTGGCTTGTTGTGTCTCTGGCTGTCTGTCTGGGCAGCAGTAGGCCCCTCCTCCTCCTGACTGTTCCCCACCACTTCACCCAGACCCTGGCTCTCAGAAAGATCCAGAAAACCAAACTGGGACACTCCTCCTAAGACACACACACACAACATAAACAGCTCAAAATCATGATTCATGAAATGCAATATTGAACTGGTGATGACAAAGAAGTGGTATAGCCTAAAAATAATGTTTCCAACAAGGAGCATTTCAAAGTTTACACAGCTACAGTATATTGTCTCAGAGACATGTCTCAGATGGTTATTTCTTTCTCTGTTAAAAACTGCTTGTACCTTCAGACTGGGCGCATTGTGTAGTGGAGTCCGCCCCAGACTCCATGGCCATGCCTCCTGTAGCACACCTGATGGTTTCAGGGATCAAGATGTCAACGTAAAGCAGATTTTTGCTGAATTCCAAACCGACCCCTAGCCTGCCCCCTACATCCTAGCTGCCTCTGTAGATTGGAGGTGATTGGATAGATATAAGTGTTATAGCGTCATCTTGCCTTCTGATTGGCTAGGTGGAAATGTCGGCATATTGCACCCACCTATCCAATCCTCTCAGATCTCCAGGAGTGTCTAGGTAGTAGGCAGGGGCCAGGGGCCATTTGGAATGCAGCATACTCCTCAAACATCTCAGCTGGCTGTCTCAATGCTCTTACAAATGCTTCAATTCACTGCATCTTGGTGACGATGTTTACCTAGTACCTACCTCCTTGTATTGGGGAGCGAGCAAACTTCTAGGACTTGACTTTCCTCCTGGTTGACTAAAGAAAATGAATTCAACAGGTTTAAGACAGAATACAATGTCTGCTATGGGGAGACAAATGCTATCAACTGCTTTCAATGCTATCACAGAGAAACCAGTGTTATCAATAGGCTATATGCATGTTATTACTCAGAAAAAAGCTGCAATGGTTGAAACCAGGGTTTAAATTCCACACTTACTCTTTGCTGTGCCCTAAACTTAGCGGCCTGGACTTTTAGTGCTTCGGAGGGTACATTCATTTGGTATCGGGAGTGACAAACACCCCACTAAATGTTCCAAATCTACGTAAGCGATGGGGTTCGAACCCGGGTTTCCTGCACGCCAGAAGAGTGCATTAGACCACTAAACCAAAGCATAGTCTTGGGGAGCCAATGCAACTCTTCGGGTCCCAGGCAAGGTTACTCATCACAGCAGTCACATACAGAGAACCACAGCTTCAAATGGTGAGGGGCCGTATGTATCAAACATATCAGAGTAGGAGTGCTGATTTAGGATCAGTTTGGCCTTTTAGATCACAGTGAATAGAATTACATGGAAGGGGGAACTGATCATATGGCCCCAGGTATCCAATCTCTGTCCTTTATGGTCACAGAGTGAGAGACCAACCTGGCCCGTTGTGATTGTTGTTCGGGATCCTCTCTGATTGGCTGTCTGTCTCGGAGTATCTGTTTCCTGCCGGAGAGGAGATCAGCTCCTGGGGAGAGAGACGGCTGGATTCAGTGGCCCTGTTCATATTACAACAGGCATCACTCCTTCCCATGAAGTAGGACAATTACTGATCTGACATGACTGAATTGGTGAAAGCTATGTGATGAAACCCTTGCTGTCACCTATCCAATTGTGTCAGTATTGACTCCATGGCATGCAGGATGGAGAGATGTATTTTCAAAGGATTCAAATTGGGCCAAGTGATATTCTGCTCTTGACAACTGACTTGAGATCTGTTATCCTCACACTTCTAACATTGATGAATATGAACTTCACAACAAAACAAGTCCTAGATCAGTTGTTAAGACTTATAGAGGTAAGTAATGTCATGTCCCAACCTAAGATGATATGCCCCAAAGTTCCTTTGAGGTCATCAGACAACAAACTAAGGTAGTAGGAGGAACTTAGCCTGGGTGCCAGTCTGTTCCTGCTCTAAGGTAGTAGGAGGATCTTAGCCTGGGTGCCAGTCTGTTCCTGCTCTAAGGTAGTAGGAGGATCTTAGCCTGGGTGCCAGTCTGTTCCTGCTCTAAGGTAGTAGGAGGATCTTAGCCTGGGTGCCAGTCTGTTCCTGCTCTAAGGTAGTAGGAGGATCTTTGCCTGGGTGCCAGTCCATTTCTGCTCTCTTGCTTGACAATGGAGTAGGCAAAAACACAAACTGATCTGGGACCAGGCTAGGAGGAACTGACAAAAACAATACTCCTATCGTCTCCCCTCCCTGTATGACCAGAAAGCATATTACCGCCTCTCAAAAGGTCTCTAGACCTTTATGTTACAGGATGTAACGTTAGTGTACTTGCCCTCTGAGTCGCTGGTTCGAGCCCTGCTCAGGCTGTCTGTCCTCAGTGGCTACTCTCCTGATTTCCACGCTGCAGTATGTCAATCACAGAAATTACCATCTTTGCATAGAATTATGGATACATCAAGTGACATTGGTGCAAGTAGGGCAAAGTAACCGTACAGATGGGCAACCTCCCAGGCATATATATCCTAGAGATCTTTTCATCTATGGCTCTTTCTCTTCATCTATGGTACTACTCCTGCCAGTAGACATGGATCATTATGGCACAGGAGGTTTACTGTAACTGTACTCTCCGCATAACCACAGTCGCTGGTTCAAGCCCATGTCCACTTGTTACCTTGATCTGTCGCTACACCATGCTACTCACCAGTACAGGGCTGTGGGAGGTGGCGGGCTGCAGGCTGGACAAGCGGCGGGCGAGCAGGGCGCGGTAGCTGCTGTCCGGGTCGTCCTCCAGTGCTGCACTATCGGGCTGGGAGTCCTCCACGATCAGGCACGGGTTCTCGGGATGGGGAAGACTCGAATCCAGGTCACTTCCGCCAGGATCCATCGGAATATGGCATGCAAGGACAGCAGGTAGCGTAGCTGCTGCGCCAAAACAAAGAGCAAAGGCAGATATTATAGCAACAACTGCCCGACTGTTAGGTGAAGCTGATCAATATAATACGACTGAATCGATCTGTGTGGTGCCATGGACTTGCAGTCCACCTGCCGATAAATAGTTAGCTAGCTAGAAGACCACAACAGCATTTGCTAGTCTAACTAGCTAGCCTAGCTACATTTATGAAGTGAGACTCGAGCACAGCACATGACTGAGAGCAAAACGTTGAGCCAACTAGCTAGTCCATTAAAAAAATAGCCATGCATAATAATGGTTTACTTAACTAGCTAGTTTGCTAAAAAATTATATTTCATAATTACGATTGCAACCACAATATGAGCTAGCGTCCTTTTGGTATAGCTAGCTACCTTGGTCGTCCAAATACTACCCCAATAATTCCATAAGCCCATCCCCCTTTCTCCCATTCGCTGTAAAACTACACATAAGGATGGATGTGATTGGTCCAGGACGCTTCTGGCATTTTGAAGACGCTGTGTGAGACGCTTGCGGAGTAAAACATAAAACAACTTGCTTCATACTCTACAGCTAGCTATATTTCACGAAATCATAATATTTGTTAACAAGGCTGTTCTGGCAGTATAACTTCGGAAATCGGCTAACTAGTTAATGTTAGCTAGCTAGTTAACTTAACGTCGACGTTATCCAGAAGTGGACAACTAGCTACGGACCTTCAAAATGCAATGTTGTGTTTGGGGGTGCAAGGCCCAATATCGGAAAGGAGCGGGGTTAGGATTTTTCCGATTCCCCACTGGAGAGAATGAAATTGCTCAAAGTCAAAGGAAAGCTTGGATACAAAGGGTGAAGAGAGAAGACCCCGAACCAGATCTGCGTTCCCATGGTGGTGGTAAATTGGTACTCCAAATGGGAAACGACTGGCACCCTACTACCTCCTCTCGCATTTGCGGGAGGCACTTTGGTTTAAGTAAGTTGATGGTCAGTTCGTAGCCAACAGATCCGACCCGCTTACTGACAACTGTAGGACAGGCTTCCGGTGTAGATTAAGACGCCACTGAGGCGGCGTGAGATATGGCTCAGAAAACGTAACTCAATCCTGGGATGAGAAATGCGTTCTCCGAATTGTCCCATTATCACAACTGTTACACAGAGAAGATTGAACAACTGCTAGTTTTTAGCAGTCATACAATCTTCTCTGTGTAACAGTTGGGATAATGGGACAATTCGGAATACAACTCATTAAAAAAACTAGCAGTTGTTCGATCTTCTCTGTGTAACAGTTGGGATAATGGGACAATTCGGAATACAACTCATTTCGCATCCCTGGATTGAGGTATATTTTCCAAACCATAACTAATCTACACAGGAAGACTGTCCTACCCTTGTACAGCTGTAAGCAAGCGGGTCGGATCTGCTGGCCAGTCAGTTTGATGCATTCCCTAACAGTGGTTGGCTTCCTGTCAAAGAGCTAGCTAGCTACAGAGTTTTCATGAAGGAAGTTATGTATGGTAAACTGTCAAAGACAGGTGAACCATCATTCACACAGGCAACTGCATAGAACACCACATTTCCAGTGAAATAATTGAAGTGTCTGTCTGAAGAGACTGAAATCAAATTTGAGTTCATATTTATTTCAGAGAAACCAAACCTGGATCCGGACCACCCTGACTTTGCCCCTTCCCTCTTCCTTCGCCCAGAGGACTATGCCTCGAGTCCGAACACAGCTCAGACAGAAGGCAAAAGAATACTGCAGAGCTATGACAGGGCAGTGAAAAAGAAGTGCCTTGACCTGAGTGAGGTTGGAGGTGCTGACCTGAGGGACAGTGACGCTGACACCGCAGAAGAAACTGAAGAGCAGGACCTGGGCACTTGTGTATCGTGTGATGTCATGAGGAAGGCCTTAAATGATTTGCAGTCCAGACATGATGCTCTGCAAGTCGAAGCTGTCAATCTCAGGGCGGAGAGAGACTTTTACAAAGAGAACGCATCTCAATCTTCTCTCTTTGTTGACACCTTTACAGACAGAGACAATGAAACACATGCAGTGAGAGAAGTGTCAAGCATGGCTAAATCAAATGGTATGAACGAACAATGTACTGTGATGGTTGAGGAGCCATGTCTTATGAAGTTTGAGGGGCCATGTCCTGTGAAGGTTGAGGGGGACTATGATCAAGTGTTGATTAAGGAAGAGGAACAACAGGTCCAAATAGAACTTTGTAGCCCCTTGGTTAGTCAGGACAAAGTGACCAATGTCTCCCAGGATAAACCTACCCAGCATAACAACATTATGAAGGCCCCCAGACGACCATGTCTGTTAGCCCAGGATAAACCCATCCAGATAGTCAACACAATGTCCCTCACTAGAGTGGTAGCCCCCAGCCCCTCAAGTCAGGTAACCAAGGATAAACCTATCCAGCTTGCCAAAACCAACAACCAATGTTCTGTGAAGGTTGAGGTGGACTATGATCAAATGTCGATTAAGGAAGAGGAACAAAAGGTCCAAATAGAACTTTGTAGCCCCTTGGTTAGTCAGGACAAAGTGACCAATGTCTCTCGCAGGCTCCCATGTCATGTCCCCAAGGATAACCCTATCCAGCTTGCAAAAGCCGTAGTAGAAACCGACCTAATGACTAACCATCTACCTGGCAGCCAAACCACCGCTGAGCCTTTGCAGAAGAGTCCTCTGTCAGCTCATAGGACACCTGTTGCAGGCAAACAAATTCAGAGAAGCAGAACAAACACAGAGAAGGATGAATTGCTTTGGCTGGGCTACATGAAGTGGAACGTGCGTCTTCCTGCAAGCACAATTAGAACCGCACACAAGTTTCAGACGCCTAGGGCAACAGTGCAATATCTTCTACATGCTGTCTTCTCCCAATGTGAACTAGCCTCCAGCAATCTCATGGGCATCCCTGCACTGGGGCTTAACAAACTGGACCCGGACAAACTTTCTGCCATAAGACAGTTTGTCGCTGCAAAGTTTCGCCGTTTAGACATGCGCCAATGTGGTAAAGACTGGGTAAAGTGCCGGCGCCAGATAACCAGCATGCTCAGGAACATTCGAAAGGAGGATAGGAAGACGAGGGGGCTCTCAGGAAACCTTTGTACGATAGAGAAGGTGGTAACGGATCAGTGTTTGCCCAGTCAGCCATCGCCTCCCTCATTCCCCTTGATCTCCCAACAGCACACAGCCGCCTTCTACAGCCCAACAGAAGAAGAAGAAATCCTCTGTCTGGAGAGTTAGGTTACAGAATATCTGTAATGATGTTTGTATTTTCCTGTAATAAATAGATTGTTAGGAGTAAAACATATGACTGATGATGTATATTTGAACTTTGGTTGATATAGGCTATAGGCTACGGTACAACTATATCATGTCACACGTAGTAGAGTGGAGCTTTGAAGGAGTGATGTGGATAGGGCACAGGGTTAGGGTTAGGTTAGGGGGTGGTGTTGTGGATAGGGCACAGGGTTAGGTTAGGGTTAGTCACAGGCTGTGCTCAATAGCAGTTATATAGTTGGGGTGAGTTGCCCCCAGAATATGAAGTGCTTGAAACAGTGGTAGAAAACCTAAATGCAATCCATCATCATACCATTGCACTCCAATCAGACCTGTCGGTGGCTATGAAATGGCCTCCCTTGCTCTTCTCCTTCCTTCTGGCTCTCCACTTTATGAGCACGTTAGAAGTGAAAGCAAAGGTGGATAGAGTCTTTCCATAAGGGAGCTGAGTGAAATAACTGATACACACATTTTGAACATAATATAGTAGGTGTATAATCTGTACATACACTACCGGTCAAAAATTTGGACGCACCTGCTCATTCAAGGGTGTTTTTTTATTTTTACAATTTTTTACATTGTAGAATAATAGTGAAGGCATCAAAACTAGGAAATAACACATATGGAATCATGTAGTAACCAAAAAAGTGTTAAACAAATCAAAATATATTTTATATTTGAGATTCTTCAAATTGCCACCCTTTGCCTTGGTGACAGCTTTGCACAATCTTGGCAGTCTCTCAACCAGCTTCATGAGGTAGTCACCTGGAATGCATTTCTATTAACAGGTGTGCCTTCTTAAAAGTTAATTTGTGGGATTTCTTTCCTTCTTAATGCGTTTGTGCCAATCAGTTGTGTTGTGACAAGGTAGGGGGGTATACAGAAGATAGCCATATTTGGTAAAAGACCAAGTCCATATTATGGCAAGAACAGCTCAAATAAGCAAAGAGAAACGACAGTCAATCATTACTTTAAGACATGAAGGTCAGTCAATACGGAACATTTCAAGAACTTTGAAAGTTTCTTCAAGTGCAGTCGCAAAAACCATCAAGCGCTATGATGAAACTGGCTCTCATGAGGACCGCCACAGGAATGGAAGACCCAGAGTTACCTCTGCTGCAGAGGATAAGTTCATTGCAGCCCAAATAAATGCTTCACAGAGTTCAAGTAACAGACACATGTCAACATCAACTGTTCAGAGGGGACTGTGTGAATCAGGCCTTCATGGTCGAATTGCTGCAAAGAAACCACTACTAAATGACACCAATAAGAAGAAGAGACCTGCTTGGGCCAAGAAACACAAGCAATGGACTTTAGACCAGTGGAAATGTGTCCTTTGGTCTGGAGTCCAAATTAGAGATTTTTGGTTCCAACCGCCGTGTCTTTGTGAGACGCGGTGTGGGTGAACGGATGATCTCCGCATGTGTAGTTCCCGCCGTAAAAGTATGTAGGAGGAGGTGTTATGGTGTAGGGGTGCTTTGCTGGTGACACTGTCTGTGATTTATTTAGAATTCAAGGCACACTTAACTAACATGGCTACCACAGCATTCTGCAGCGATACGCCATCCCATCTGGTTTGGACTTAGTCGGACTATCATTTGTTTTTCAACAGGAGAATGACCCAACACACCTCCAGGCTGTGTAAGGGCTATTTTACCAAGGAGAGTGATGGAGTGCTGCATCAGATGACCTGGCCTCCACAATCCCCGACCTTAACCCAATTGAGATGGTTTGGGATGAGTCGGACGGCAGAGTGAAGGAAAAGCAGCCAACAAGTGCTCAGCATATGTGGGAACTCCTTCAAGACTGTTGAAAAAGCAATCCAGGTGAAGCTGGTTGAGGGAATGCCAAGAGTGTTCAAAGCTGTCATAAATGCAAAGGGTGGCTATTTGAAGAATCTCAAATATAACATATATTTTGATTTGTTTAACATTTGTTTGGTTACTACATGATTCTATATGTGTTATTTCATAGTTTTGATGTCTTCACTATTATTCTACAATTTAGAAAATAGTAAAAAATAAAGAAAAACCCTTGAATGAGTAGGTGTGTCCAAACTTTTCACTGGTACTGTAGATTCATTACTTTATTTCATGTTAACAGGATTTGTGTATGCCCGGAGTTCATTCACTCCCCCAGTTTGTTTGGGGTAAAGAATGCCAACGTTTGCAGCTGATGGCAGCAGTGGCTATGTAAACAAAATCAAAGTGTGGATTGCTGTCTCTCCTAGCATGGACTTCTTTTCATTTAACATCATAGGTGAACTATCTCTTTAATCAACCCCAGTGCCATGGGTACTCAGGACTACTTTAACCTGCCTCTGTTTCTATGGTGACGCCACAATCTGTTCCTCACAAAAGTAGGGCAATAAAAAATATTTATCACGCATCAGGACCCAGGACATTTAGCATTTAACTCAAACCAAGTATGTAATCAGCATGCAGTTGCTTACCCATTTCTGCCTAATGAAATCAATTAATCAGATGTAGGATGGTACACTACTGTTACTGACAGTTTACACTGTATTATCTACTATCATCTACCCAGACATGGGCTGTGTCTGAAATGGCTTGGGAATAGGCTGCCATTTAAGACGCAGTCTAGGACAGGCCACAGAAAAAGGCTTGATGTTTGAATGTAGGAAAACACTTTATACAAATTCCCAAATCCTCAGTGAATTGACTCTGAAATGTCTCACTTATTTTTTGTCAGAGGACACCAAGTCCATTAGTGATGCTATGGCAACTCCATTTAAATAAATAGTTATAACAAAGTGATTAGACTTTACATCTTAACACAGAGAACCTTGAGTCGAATTGACCCACTGGCAATCTGAGACTTCAGAAACTACCTCAGCTAAGAAAGAACAGCATATGATCATTCCCTTAGTGTAGCAGGGGAACAAATAGCTTAGGCGGGGATAGTTTATTCAAACTATTAGATTTGTTTAAACATGTATCTACATGCAGCTCAGAAAGGTTATTTGAGCCAGTACAACTCAATAGCAATCACAGGTATCTTTGGTACGTTATTGAGGCACCCATAATACACTACTACCAGGCAATGAAGATGATGCATTTTGGGTTGCCCTTGGACAGCATGCAACCTCATGAGCTAATGATATTCATAGCCTAATTTCGTTGATAAACAATATAAAATATATGCATAAAATGTTTCATCAAAATGTTTAAAATAAGCTAGCCTATACATAAATATGATTTAACTGTTTTAATAAAACCTAAAAAACTGAATAACAGCATTAGGTCGTGGATACTTTTTTTCAAGCCCAACCCTAAACACAGCACCACTGATATGAAAATCATATGGCTATAGGCGACACATACGTACACGGTGCGGTGCATCGTGCTGGCGCGTCATATTGCCAAGCAGACCAGTTGAGTTGGAACCGAAAATAAGAAATGCGCAGCAGACGGAGCACGAAAATCCGAACGCAAGTCACTATTCTGAACCTGTCCTTGAACACAAACCAGTGACATTGATGTTCAAATAGGCCTATACTATGTCACATTTCCCCAAAAAATGTATTAGGCACTAGAAAGTACAAACTATTGCTTTACCTGAAAAGTTGATGTTCTCTTTTGCAAGCAGAAAGTGTGAGATTTGTATTGCCCCCTTTGCAGCAATACCGGTGCGCGTTAACTGCGTTCACATCTCTCTCTCTCTCTCGCCCCCCTTCCTCTCTTTTCCAGGAAGACAGGGTGTGGATACAGACAGTGCCACTTAAAGATGCAATGGCATTTTTTAATGTTGGCATATTTAGTGCATGTAGGTGCTGAGGTGCGTGCACTCTTAGAATTTTTTTTGAAATCTACAGTGAGGGAAAAAAGTATTTGATCCCCTGCTGATTTTGTACATTTGCCCACTGACAAAGACATGATCAGTCTATAATTTTAATGGTAGGTTTATTTGAACAGTGAGAGACAGAATAATAATAAAATCCAGAAAAACACATGTCAAAAATGTTATAAATTGATTTGCATTTTAATGAGGGAAATAAGTATTTGATCCCTCTGCAAAACATGACTTAGTACTTGGTGGCAAAACCCTTGTTGGCAATCACAGAGGTCAGACATTTCTTGTAGTTGGCCACCAGGTTTGCACACATCTCAGGAGGGTTTTTGTCCCACTCCTCTTTGCAGATCTTCTCCAAGTCATTAAGGTTTCGAGGCTGACGTTTGGCAACTCGAACCTTCAGCTCCCTCCACAGATTTTCTATGGAATTAAGGTCTGGAGACTGGCTAGGCCACTCCAGGACCTTAATGTGCTTCTTCTTGAGCCACTCCTTTGTTGCCTTGGCCGTGTGTTTTGGGTCATTGTCATGCTGGAATACCCATCCACGACCCATTTTCAATGCCCTGGCTGAGGGAAGGAGGTTCTGACCAAAGATTTGACGGTACATGGCCCCGTCCATCGTCCCTTTGATGCGGTGAAGTTGTCCTATCCCCTTAGCAGAAAAACACCCCCAAAGCATAATGTTTCCACCTCCATGTTTGACGGTGGGGATGGTGTTCTTGGGGTCATAGGCAGCATTCCTCCTCCAAACACGGCGAGTTGAGTTGATGCCAAAGGGCTCGATTTTGGTCTCATCTGACCACAACACTTTCACCCAGTTCTCCTCTGAATCATTCAGATGTTCATTGGCAAACTTCAGACGGCCCTGTATATGTGCTTTCTTGAGCAGGGGGACCTTGCGGGCGCTGCAGGATTTCAGTCCTTCACGACGTAGTGTGTTACCAATTGTTTTCTTGGTGACTATGGTCCCAGCTGCCTTGAGATCATTGACAAGATCCTCCCGTGTAGTTCTGGGCTGATTCCTCACCGTTCTTATGATCATTGCAACTCCACAAGGGGAGATCTTGCATGGAGCCCCAGGCTGAGGGAGATTGACAGTGGTTTTTGTGTTTCTTCTATTTGCGAATAATCGCACCAACTGTTGTTACCTT